AAAAAAATTGTTTTTTTCCCGATTTGTCCAGACGGCAGTTCAGCACCTTCTGGAGTCTAGGCTATTATAGTCGACGGTAGATCTCACATATATCACCTGTACTCGAATCATTGAGCTTAAGGAGTTGGGCCACCTCCGCTAGGATTCCAACTCTGCCCATGTTCTCCTTCTTTGGTCGCATCTTGAACGAGATCGGTGGGTTGGCTGCTGGGTTCACTGCTAGGATCCTCCTTCCAGCCACCTTAAAGGTACCTTCTCCTTTCCAGAATTTCTCTGCCGCCTCGTTGCGGACAAAGGTGATCACTGCTGGGATCTCTTCTGCCTTCGCCAGGTCAGGCTTGAGGGGAGCCTTGAAGATCAAACTCCTGCTGTCTTGCGTCTGATCTACGATCAAGCCTTGCTCTTCCAGCTTGACGCATAAGTTTTCAACCTGTCTGGAGAAGTATGCAGGTATCCCTAGTACCTTCATGGTAATCGTCTGCACACTCGTGCCCTGGTCATCATAAGACCTGGCCTCCATCTGCCGTTGCCTGTCTGCTAGAAATTCGGACAGGTACCACTGCCTGGCATCATCACCCCACTGCCCGAGACCTTTCAGACTCTCCAGTGGTGAAGGTTCAGCAAAGCTGCATGTGTGACTGATGGCTTCGGCTAAGGCTTCCAAGGATATCTCTTTGGCTTTCAGAGCTTTGCTCGTCCTGCTTTTGGGATTCTGCCTTGCGAAGTCATCCAGTCGTCGCACAAGCTCAGCTGGTGACGGCATCGTTCCAGTTTCCGTCTGCCTCTTGAGGTAGCTGGAGGTACGGTACTGCACGATCTCGTCAGGGTTCACAATAGATATTGGCCACATGCTTCGGAGCATTCTCAATGGTTTCCCAAGCTTCCGTCGTTCCTGGCGGCTCTTACTCCACCAGCGCAGGGGTACCGCAAATCTGCATGCCAGGAAATAAGGAACCTGCCAGGAAATAAGGAACCTGCCAGGAAATAAGGAACCTGCCAGGAAATAAGGAACCTGCCAGGAAATAAGGAACCTGCCAGGAAATAAGGAACCTGCCAGGAAATAAGGAACCTGCCAGGAAATAAGGAACCTGCCAGGAAATAAGGAACCTGCCAGGAAATAAGGAACCTGCCAGGAAATAAGGAACCTGCCAGGAAATAAGGAACCTCCTAAACCCTAAACCCTAAACCCTAAACCCTAATGTGATTTGATTTTAAACATATATCAAGGTAACACCGATTGCAATTAACGTCTTGTTCCCTCTTGACAAGAGGCCCTCGTGCCCTCTTGTCGCACCGCATTCTTCATATTCTTGCCCCGTGCAGCGCCGTTGCTTCCATCTGCACTGAGAACCATTTCAGTATTTTGTCATTCTCTGAGACCAGTCCCAAAGTGACTCCTGCACGATCCTTTCCATGTCGATCGAATGCTTGAAGAACGATGTCCGCTGCTTCAAGGCTCGAGCACGTTGCGATCCAGTCGACCTCTCTGTTCTGGTTGACTGTTTCTATTCCTACCGCAGCGAACACCTTCTTTGGCGGTATGTTCCTCTTGGGGGGGAGGTTCACTGTCATTCCCGCGTTTGGGATCAGATCAATGATCGCTAATCCCTGCTTCAGGCATAGCTGCCTGTAGATCTCACATATGTCACCTGTGCTCGAATCGTTGAGCATCAGGAGTTGGGCCACCTCAGCTAGGATTCCAACTCTGCCCATGTTCTCCTTCTTTGGCCGCATCTTGAACGAGATCGGTGGGTTGGCTGCTGGGTTCACTGCTAGAATCCTCCTGCCTGCCACCTTGAAGGTACCTTCTCCTTTCCAGAGTTTCTCAGCCGCCTCATTGCGGACAAATGTGATCACTGCTGGGATCTCCGCTGCCTGCACAAGGTCAGGCTTCAAGGGAGCCTTGAAGATCAGGCTCCTGCTGTCTTGCGTCTGATCTACGATCAAGCCTTGCTCTTCAAGCTTGAGGCATAAGTTTTCCACCTGTCTGGAAAAGTATGCAGGGATCCCAAGTACCTTCATGGTAATCGTCTGCACATTGGTGCCCTGATCATCATATGATCTGGCCTCCATCTGCCTTTGTCTGTCAGCTTGGAACTCTGACAGGTACCACTGCCTGGCATCGTCACCCCACTGCCTGAGCCCTTTCGGATTCTCCAGTGACGAGGGTTCAGCAAAGCTGCATGTCTGACTGATGGCTTCGGCTAAGGCTTCCAAGGATATTTCTTTGGCTTTCAGAGCTTTGCTCGTCCTGCTTTTGGGGTTCTGCCTTGCGAATTCGTCCAGTCTCCGCATCAGTTCGGCTGATGACGGCATCGTTGCAGCTTCCGTCTGCCTCTTGAGGTAGCTGGAGGTACGGTACTGCACGATCTCGTCAGGGTTCACAATAGATATTGGCCACATGTTTCGAAGCATTCTCGATGGTTTCCCGAGCTTCCTGCGTTCCTGGCGACTCTTGCTCTACCACGCAGGGACCCCGCTGATCTGCATGCCTCAGATAAAGGGATCTGCCTCAGATAAAGGGATCCTGCCTCAGATAAAGGGATCCTGCCTCAGATAAAGGGATCCTGCCTCAGATAAAGGGATCCTGCCTCAGATAAAGGGATCCTGCCTCAGATAAAGGGATCTGCCTCAGATAAAGGGATCCTGCCTCAGATAAAGGGATCCTGCCTCAGATAAAGGGATCCTGCCTCAGATAAAGGGATCTGCCTCAGATAAAGTGATCCTCAGGCCTCAGATAAAGGGATCCTCTAAACCCTAAACCCTAAGAAGCTGCATCTTCGATGACTGCTGACAGCTCGCTGACGAGCTGCATGTCCTCTTGGCTTGACGGAGATGCTGCCTAAACCCTAAACCTTAAAACCCTAAACCCTAAACCCTAACCCTAAACCCTAAACCCAGCTGTGAACTTGCGACCATCGATCGCGAAGTCCTCTCTTCCCTGCCAGAGCTTCTTCGCTTGTGCATTGCGGAGCCTCGGAGGAAGGAAACAGTCACCGGGATCCCATCAGCACTCGTCGTTTTACTGTCTTGCACTGAGTCTACGATCTGAGTCCGATCTCTTCGAATTTCTTCTTCAGCTTCTCTTCATGGTTGACATACATCATGGAGATGTAGGAAGTCACCTCGTTGCCTGCTGAGGCGATGTATGTTTCGACCTTCTGCTTCTTGGCTTCTCCATCCAGTCATTGCTTCTTGTAGAAGCTCACGTCGTGCCTGCTGAAAGTTTGATCCTAGTTTATTAGAATGCTAGAATGTTGCTCGGCCTCCTTGTGGGCTTTTGCAATTTGATCCTAGCATCGGATGGTCGCAAGTTCACAGCGTCAGATACGGCGCCGAGTTAAGACGACTGACTCGTGTCAAGGCGGCCCATGTAGCCTAGTAGCGTGTGGGATGAAGAGGGTCAGTGGCTTTCCTAGCCGTCTTGCTAAGGTCCTCTCATGTCTGGATGCTTGGATTTCACATCCTAGCATACAGTCTATCTCTCATGTGCTCCTCAAATCAGGCTGGTCTGAGTTCACGGTTCCGGGCGGCGCGGCCGCGCGGCGCCGGGCCCCGCCGGGCCTGAGTAGGAAAAATTGAGGAAAATGTTTACTTAAAATCGTACTGCTTGTTGATGGCGGCGTGCAAGGAAGTTATCAGGGTGCAGGAGCAGAGGGCATGTGCCTTCGACGAGATGGAGCAAGCGTTTAAAGCTCTTCTAAGCTCTCAGATGTGGCTCAACTCCTCCGAAGATGCTGGAAAAAGTGACTGTGAGACAGACTTCATCCAAGTTTGCAACAACGTCACAAGCCGATTCCAAACTTTGTCAAGCCAGATGATATCCATCGAAGAGGAGTTAAAGCTTTCTCAAGACAATCTAATGCTTGCTAATGTCATACGAAAGATACAAGATGAGGAGCGGGAGCATCTTCGACTTGTAATCGCTCTGCAAGTTGAAAGGAAACGGTTAGATTTACTAAGGCTCACAGCTGACAAAGCCACGAAATCCCACAACGAACATGGTGAGCAACATCGATGTACATGCAGTGCCAAGACGGAGGAGCAAATCGAGGACTTGCAGGATTTGATTTGCATTCAAGAAGACAAGGTCAAGTGGATGAAACAGCAAACGCTGAACAGTGAATCTAAAATCAACGAGCTTCTCGATGAAGTGCGATACTGGGAAGTGGACAAGGAAATGATTTAAGCAACTCCTGTATTCACACATGGTAAGGAAATTAGGAAAAAATATTTCAAACCTATATCGGTTATCTCGTTCCCAGAGACTAGAAAGGAATGATTAGGCAGAAATGAACCTCTCACACCTTGCTTGCTCTTTTTTTGATGGTCGTCCGCCTCGACACAGGAAATTGATCAACTCTTAGCAAACTTAGGGAGCACTCTTGCTACTGCATGATGCAGTGATCTAAACCCTAAGGCTCATCGGTAGCCTGACTGACTGACAGTATGTGGCAGAACGTTGTGAGAGAATGTCCGATAGCAGCTAAGTCTTCCTGTTTTCTATGGGCTGCCTACGATCTCGGAATCGAAATTAAACCTTTTAGTTGCACTCTAGGGGTAGTGTTGTCCCCAAGGCAAGCATGGTAACATTCGAAAGATTCATTCGGAAAGATTCATTCGGATCAAGGAGAAGAAGGCGATGAAACAGGATGGCACTGCCATTGCGTTGCCCTATGAGTGTTGATCTTGAATGCCACACTGAAAGCTTATTCTTATTTGTTCGTAAGTATGGACAGATGCATCAAGGTTAGCACATAAAGCTGTCGTGGAGGCCCTCGGGTCCACTGAGGCTCAATCCGATGCCTCGGACCGTACGGCAGCCCAGCTTCAAACTTCAAACTTGACCGAGTGTTTGGGCCTTAGCTCAGTTCCGTCGCGGCTGTACTGAATGCTCTCGCCTCAGTTACGTGACGACCGGCTTGTGCGCGGCTTAGCTTCACTGAGACGGCAGCGGGTGGGGCCGCGGGTCATCCGGCGAGCCTAACTGGACTAGGTGAGTCACGTGGTAGCGGCAAGTAATAAAGCGTGATCGGACGGCTGGGAGCAGCCGGTGAGACTGTCAGTGACTCAGAGATTGTCAGTGAGACCTTGAGTCGATTTGACAGAAAAGGGTAGGGTACTAGCTAGTCGGAGTACGGCCCATCAGGTACTGCAGCGGGGGTGGAGTCAATCACATTTCAAGGGTTGTCCGTACAGTAGAGGGTGGGTAGTACACCCTACCTCATGTCTGTACCTATGATTTTGGGGTACAACAATTACGAGGGGTCGTTTTTAATGGAACCGCAGCGCTGCGTTTGAGGGCAGAATGCCATCCAGCGAATACTTGTTCATGATGTAAGTTACCAAGAAAATAGAAAGAAGTCAAATATGGAAATATTGGAATAGATGTGGATTGAGGATGTATCGGTGGACATAGTTTGACAAGCAGGATAAAGAATACCTCAAAAAGTTTTGGCAAAATGAGGCAGGAAACATCGAATGTGATTTGATTTTAAACATATATCAAGGTAACACCGATTGCAATTAACGTCTTGTTCTAGGTCGCGCTAAAGAATGAAAATCTTGAAATGTTAGGACCAAGAAAGAAATAAGCTTGAAGTTGCACAGATCCCTAGAAATGAATCTCTCTATGGACCCTGATGTGTCATTACCAAGATTAGCGGATTCTCGCATACCCAAAGCAAGCTTAATGCTGGAGAGTGAAATATTCCCTGCGATGGTCATTGACACGCTTGATGAAGTGCACTTAGACCCGGAGTGCCGAAAGATGCCACATACGGTAATGATCAATTTCAATAGAGAATCCATCAAGGTGCACAGACGGTATTTTGAAAGAAATGCAAGGAACGAATTGTGCGCACAAAAATGGCTTAGAAGAATCTTTACGTTCAACAGCAATGAAGTTCCCTATTACAGCGCTCTTGTTCTTAAGATGGAACAAGAAGAGTGTTACTTGATTTGCTGCGACGAAGCATTGTTGCTACCCGCTGATGTACGCGAAAGTCTCAAAACTCTGAATCCCTTTCAAAATCATGTGCCAAAAATCCCAAATTTATGCGAAGACCTCGTAATTGATTGCATTGTAAAGTCTCTTGAACGAGCAGTCGGGTTGTTCCAGGCGTGGGAGCAAAAGCTTGGAATCAAGATGAAAGTAGGGTATTTTATTCCACCTAATCCAGATGTCGTTCACATTTCTAGCACCAAAGAAATGAAGCAAGCAACAGAAATGCAAGTTTTCCTCGAGCCAGACGATACAGATGTAGACCGTGGAAGTAAGAACATGGAGATGGACTCAAGACCTTCCGATAAGACCTCATTATCAAAGATCGAAGATGGTGTCTTACCGCTAAGACTCAGAGACGTGGGAACAGGACCAAACACATCGGTGAGACTGGAGGAAGAGAAGATTCATAGCAGCCTCTTTCATTCTCAACCACTCGTGTCTGAGATCGAAGACACAAAAACTATTGACAAAGCAGTCATGAGGGGAAAAGCAAATAAACCAAGTACCCGAGCGTCAAGCAGGACATTGATATGGCTGAAGACTAAACTAATTCCGTGTATTTGTATACCTGACATGCCAATCATTGAAGAAGACGAAGATAATCTATCTCAGGGTAGCAAAACTAATATTGAAGTAACAGCTCAGCTTGAACTCAACGGCCCTAGTCAGGTAATCGCGTTCCCTTATATCAAGCTCAAAAAGTGATAAGCGTGAATTCCAGGTTGTTGTTCTGCAACTACCACAGGAAAGTCCGGCCACAACAACAAGTGGTCATATCAGTCTTCAATGTTCCAGAGGAACTGATGTTCGCCGAGAGACAGAGACCAAAGAAGAAGCTCAAAACCCGATCACAACTCATCACGTAGGGAAAGAAGCACTCGAAACTAAATCGTTTACTACTTCTGATCTCTCTACACAAACTAGAGAAGCGAAGGAGCTCAACGAACAGATGCTGGGTAACAGTCACCAAGAAACGAAAGCAAGATTGTACATCACTCACGATGAGGCCGACACCAAGAACGCACCTAGTGTCCATCACGCGTTGCCAGTGATCGGCAAGGATGTCCAGCCTGTAAAGGGATTGATTGTGCAGCTTACTCTGCAAGGAAGGAATGGATTGGATGAAAGATTATTGCAATTGTCAGGCAATGGTGTTGGTGTCCTTACACGCATCATGAATGATGGAAAAGTCTGCGCAGTAAGATGGGAGTGCAAACCTTTGGAGGAGCACTATTACAGAACGGGAAGGTGGGGAAAGTTTGAACTTGAACTTGCAAATCCGTCTCCGGACGAGGAACTGGCTTCATCTATTTTGATGAGCTCTCAACGAGTCTTCGAAAAGCCAAAAGAGTATTGATTCCCTTCTGTTTGGTTCACGTCATAAATATGTTTACAGACCTCTCGCGAAGATTCCAACGCACAGCGCCTCTTCTTATGTAAGATAACTCAAATTTCTTGATCTAGTCATCTTTGGTTCGCTCAATTCTGATTACAGATCAATATGCAACCAACTTCGCTCTGGTCAAACGCTGGGAAAATTGATTACACTGTAGGATCTATCGATCATCAGGTTTGTACCTGCCATGCCTGTCTGCTTTTGATTTATGGTCTCCCAGCAACATGCCAGCTTCAATGCAGAGAGTGCGAATGACGCGTCGGACAGAAACCTCGATAGTCGAAATGAATCGTTACAGCCAGCTGGCGATGTTGTGGAAGAGAAAGCAGCCAGTGATGTACAACGGCAAGTTTGGGATGATTCTTCGTTCCTTGAAGTTCTCGAAAAACGGCAGAAAGAATTTCAAGATTTGGAAAGGAAGCACGTGGGGCACGTCGTCTCCGAATCCGAGATGATCTCAATTCGTTTTGACGAGACGAATCCAACAGATACTCCAGCCGCGCCCTCTCATGTACGTGACATCAAATTCATCTATATTTGCCTGTTCTCCTTATGTCTCATTCTTTTTCTTTTCCTCCTGTTTCTGCGAACTCGAATACATGCTCACCTTGACCATTTTCAGTCTGAAATCAACCCGAGCACGGCTGCGGAGAGACCTGACCAGCTTCGAACGCGACACAAGGTCGAGGGAAATTTCATCTACTTCAACAATGGCGGGCCTGAGTTGGAGGGGAAGAATGTCGGGCGCCTGCATGAAATACGAACGAAGAGATCCATGGAGACCAAGAGCGCTGGCAGGCAGATGACTCCTCGCCCGCTTGACCGCGAGTGGCTACAGAATCACTCCCTCAAGAGCCACGTGAGTAACGACCCTTTGCCACATGAGCGAACCCATGAAGAGACAAAAGAAACGAATGATGTCAAACGTGGTCGAGAGGAGGAGCGAGATTAGCACCGTCATGCTGACGGTTTATTTTAGCCAGCAATCGCTGATGAGATTCAAATTCTCCATCGCCTGAGAGGGCAGCCATACAAGACTATCCCTTCCTTTTCCGTCGCGGTGTGTTGATGCTGAGTTTCTGTCTTTGCATGATTTCTACGACAGACACAGGCAGAGGTGCGGGCGCCAGAGCGACAATTCGGACAAGAGGATCCGTCCAAAGACATAGACGAGGAGGATGATGACTCGGAGTACGAGTAGGTGTAAAGTTTTAAACAGGACAGTAAGTGGCGCATGGTCAATCAGACGGCTCATAATCCACTTCCTCCGTTGATATGGTCACAGTCCACATCCGATTGGTCGTGACTGTAGCTCCTCCAGTTTCTGATCTTGAATGATATCACCTCTTGGACAATGGCGACGTATGCGTAGAGCTCAATGAAAGAGTTCCGGCACTTCCAGTTGCGGTGATGTTGCTGACGTTCAGCGCCGGCATAGGAGGATGTGAAGTGAGCCGCTTGAACGATCCAGGACTGTTGGCAAGGTTGCCTCCACGAGGACCAGCGCCCTTCATATTTCGCATCTTCAGCACGTCCTTGGGAGCGTCTGCTCTGTACTCATCGGCATTCTCAAGTGCAGCGCGTAGCAGTTCATCCTCCATGCCAGTGAGCTTCTGTCTGAGGGTTTGCGAGTTGATCGGCTCATCCTCGTCGTCAAACGCATCATTCTCTCTCACACTCGGGGCTCGAGGTCGAAGATGAACTGGAGCTCCATCCATGGTCCCAGCAGCAGTCTCTTTCTCATCATGCTCATTGTTGTCTGTACTCTCTGACAGAAAATGGTGCCGATGTGCAGAGTCCTTGTGGGTGTGCAGGTGAGGAGTGAACTTGAGAAGCTGGACTGCCCTGCTTTCAACTTTCCCGAGAAGACTGATCATGACTGTGATCGGGTCTGCATTGTCCTCAATTCCATTTTCATGAAGCTCTTTATCCGATATGTTGACCCGTCTGCAGATGCTGCGTGATGCCAGCATCAGTTGCTCAAGCAGTGTCTGACTTCTGTCTATCTTTTCTTCGATCTCCCTTTCTTGCTCCTCCAGCTTTTCAACTTTTGCGATCGCGTCATCCCTCAACTGTTTCCAATGATCATTTTTTCCTTGAAACTGCATTTCAGTTTGAGTAGCTTCAAGGTTCAGTCCTTCGATTTCGTCCTCCAGTTTCTCAATGTCCATGTTCAAACTGTGCAGATACTGAAAACGATGAAAATTAAGCTCTTCGTATTGAATAAATTGCGTGACAAAGTCCTCTATCTTGGCGTATCCCGTTGCAGACTGCAGCTTTTCGAAGGCTTCCTCAAAACTTTGAGCTTGCTCCTTGAGCAGATCGGTCATCGCTTTTTCTTTTGCCAGTTGCCATTTTCCCTTGACGACTTTGCGTCTCAAGTCCTCTTCCTGTTCTGCGGTCATGCTTCCAAGTTGATACGGAGGAGATGGTTCCCCTTTGTTCAGATTGTCCTCGATGAGGTCAAAGGCTCGTATCACTTGCTTCAGCTCTCTGCATTGCGAGAGAAACTCTCTGTGCCCCGTGTCTGCATTATGCTGAAGTTCTTCAATTTTTGAAGCATATTCAGCTCTTTCCACCAGAAATGCTTGAGATTCACCGATGATCTCCTGTATCTGCTTCTCCACTATCGCCAGCCGAGCTTTGGTGCGCGACATGATTTGTTTGAATCTTTTCCTCTCTCTTCGCAATTCGTTGATGTTAGATCTGGCTTTCTTGTTCTCAGTGATCTCAGAAGCGTATTTTCGTGAGACAAGCTCCAAGTTGTCATTAAGTCTTTGAACCTGCTCGTTGAATCAAAGGCTGCACACAGGCAACTGAGCAAAAATACCTGCTTGCGCATGTGCGTATCCGTCTCTGTTCTCGCGAGAAAATCTCGCTTTTCTTCGATCAGCTCATAGCAGTCTTTGAGTTTCTTGTCGTGCTCTCCAATCTTTCGTTTCTCTACTTCTATTTTAGCAGAGAATGTCTCTGCTTCTTCAGCAAGCTTTGCCACAAGAGCGAGTGATCCTATGGAGTTCTGATCTTCATCAAAACCGGCGGTAGATAGTTCAGTAATCTTGTCCCTTAATTCTTGATTTTCTTGGCGAAACTTTGCCAGAAGCGACCTGGAAATATTTACAGTCAACATCAACTTCAACCTTCACCAAGGCAGGCGCGTACCTCTGCTCTCTAAGCAGCTTCTGTGCTGATGTAAATGTGGACTTGGTGAATTCGTCCTGTGGTCCTTGCTCAGTCTTGACGGGCTTTGCTACAGTTTGGTGTTGTTCTGATGACTGCGCATTATTCGAGGTTCGATTTTCATTGCGAACTATTTCTTCCCTCTCTGCAGGAGGTCCAGGAGTTTGCGAAACCGAAGCATCTGCCATACTGTCCTAGACACCGCCTCTCAAAGCGAAAACAGTCTTGTGCCTGTAAAGCGTAGTTGTCGATATATCTCACTTTATGTCTTTTCTTCTTGTCCTCCCTTCAATTTCTTTCAGTCGCCCCTGCCATGAGGAGCGTTGGAGAAGCAATGTACAATAAAATGTAGGGGTGGGTAAGTTAACATGCGGGTCCATTTATCTGAGAACCACAGAGACAGGTAGGGGTACGTTCAGGTTTCCCATCTTTATAACTGTGGTAGGGTGGTATCACGAAGGAAAGTTCAACGGCTGGAAATTTGATCCATATCCCGAAACCTGCCCTTAGTATTTCAATGGTGCAAAGATGTTTTGAATTATGAGAAAAGCAGCCCGCCTCAGAAACTGGTTATGGTTTCAGTTACTGTTCAGTTACGTATCGACGAAGGGGCATGATGGCTGGGGAGAGTACTGGGTTGATGCAAGGGTGGCGCCATGGAGACGGAAAAGCAAAACGATATATGAGATCATTAGGGATATCATGGTTGGTTGGAAGCACACCTCCAGGACCCAAGGTGTACTCTTGCATTACCCTCGTTGTCGTGATTGCAGTCACTTTGACACAACGAAGCGGATTGAACTCGGTAGACTTGTTGTCGATACCCATCCCCATGCTTCCGTTGACAGGCAAGAAAGAATTGGCCAAGACTAAGATGCATATTCTTTACCAGGATTGGAGAGGTACTTCTCTTGAATCTATCGATCGGTGGACTTTCAGCCACAAATGGCATGGCTCGTTAGACCTGGGCGAGATTGAGATGAAGAAGGTTGTGGCTCCTGAACTTTCGATTGTGGGCTCTGAGGAGTACGGCGACAAGAAATCACTATCTGAATTGAAAGAACATCTTATCAAACATTTCAAGGTTACGCTAGAAGGTTCTTGGGAGCAGAATCAAGCATCAGTCTTGCTCGATCAACTTCAAGCGTTATGCTCTCCAACCAGCAAGTCTGATCAGTCCGCTTTTCAAATATGTGATATTCAGCATGATACACACTGGAAATTGAGTGATAACTTGTTGAGCGACGATATATCTTTGGTAGGCTCCGATGTTTCTTTGGCAAGAAGGGCGTTGGATTTTGCAGCTCCTCGTTCAGCGAAGGTAGATGGCGATAGTGGTGTCGTTAGATCGCACAGACTTCAATTTGCCTTGATGAAGTTTGTGACTAATTGGGGGCACAAGGAAAAAGTAGTCAACCAGATTCTTCAGCGCAAATTTGGTTCACAACTTGATGTTGACGTTGGTTACATCGACCTCACTTCTGTCACCACCTACGAAGATAGGGAGAGGTTTCAAGCATTCAAAGCTCCAGAACTATTATTCATGATGGAATCGTGGAGCTTGCTCCCTCAGCATCTGGTTGGTACTTTTCCTCTGGATATTTGCCATTGACGTTTGCACCTTAGCACAAGGTCGATGGATTGAAGTATGTTGTTCGACGACAACAGGTTTTGTTTTAAACTCAAAGCGCAAAACTGGATTGATGACTTGGTGCTTTCAGGGATTAAATCATCCATATTATGGTCCTACGACGGCAGTCTCCTGGCCGACAAATATGCAGAATTCTTATCAGGAATATATGGATTATTCGTTTAACAATGACGGTTATACTTCTCGACATTTGTTTATTCACGAAAAGACGCATTTCTTTTGGGGTAGGTTGTGGAACGATCAAATGAAAAAGGATTGGGAGGCAGCTGGTTCCTGGAAAGAGAAAGGCAATGACTCTTGGATGACCGATCAAACAATTCCCTTTGCTTCAGACTATGGAGCAAGTAATAACCCTGACGAAGACATTGCTGAATGCATGGCAGCATACGTGCTACACCCTATGCTGCTACAAGTAAGAGCGCCTGTCAAAGAAGAGTTTATTCGCAAACAAATCATGAGGAATACACGATACCTGGAAAATCCTATTTTCACTTTCAAGATAGAAAATGAGGAACCTTATCGAAGATATCCACCTTCGGTGAACAACATAGATATTCGTGTGGAAGGAGATCCGAATGACGACAAGACTGTTGAGATGAAGATGCTTGTTGATGTTGGACACGGTTGGCACTCCCCGATTCATGCAGAAGTAACTGTCTCAGGACCAAATGGTGGTTCAAAAACTTTAACTCTTTATCCGGACGCGGTCGAAGAAGAAAGTGGCGGTTCAATTACAATGCGTACAACTGAAGTATTCAGCAAATATTGTGAAAATGGCTTCTGGTCGGCCTCTCAGATAAAGGTTTTGTTTTAATTCTTTTGTCTCAAGTCTTATTGTTTTTTTTAGATGGTCGATAAAATCGGGTCCGAACGTTGGATTAAGGTGGATGAGTACTCATGGCGCCTGTACCTCAATAATGCCATGGGTACCACTTGGGCACCAAGATATTTGTCTCAAACCTTGAAATTGACGAAAACTTTGGAGAAGGACGACGAATCAGGATCGCATTATCCAGTTGTGACAGCAACCATTAGGTTTCAACAAACCGGAGCTCCCCTCGATGAAAAGTCACCAGTGTGGATGAGGCTGGCTTCGAAGCCAAGTGCACAGGGGGGGGGGATGACTGGAAGCGAATGGGATGGGAGCGGAACAAGCTCTTATTCATATCCACTGTATCAAGCAGGTACTTGCGTTCAGGACCAGAACTCTTGGGATGGCGTATGCACTGTCTCGTGGAAGCTGTCTCCATATTCTGCAGCTGGTCAATATTATGTATAGCAATTGAATCTTGTTTGCTCCTGAAAATTCGCTGACCCTGAGTGCCAGGTCTCCATGATTCAGCTGAGAGATGTTGCTAGTAATACAAGAAATCAGTTTTTCACGCAGCAGAAGCCTGGATGGACCTGCTGTGGGAGAGTAGGAAATACCCCAAACGACGAATTTCCTGTTCTCATGGAATTGCAACAATGCGCACAAGGAACTGAATTGTCTGTTGACAATATCTGTGTTGTTCAGGATCTGAGTCCACCAAGTTTAGCTCCTGAGAGCATCAAAATTCAAGTAGAACCAGCTGAAAGTTCACATCATAACGGAGCTTCTGTTGTGAAAATCCAATTCAAGGCAAAAGATGATAAATCTGGAGTTGGCACTGTCGCATACCGGCTAATGGATCCTCAGGGTTTCTCACACCAGGTGATGTTGGTTGTTTGATATTCATAAATCTTTTTGCTAAGCCTATGTAAACCAGGGCTACATGACGCATGAGAATGAGTACGGACCTGTTTTCCATGGAGACCCAACCGCTTGGAAGGAGTACACCCTGACAGTAGAGCTTGCAAAGGGAAGCCCTCCTGGGAAGTGGCAGCTCGAGAGTTTAGACATCCATGACAAGGCGGGGAATCGAAAGCATCATCAATTCATTGAACTGCTTCAGTTTGAGGCCTCGCATTGAAGTCTCGTCGCAGAATTTCCCAGTGTAGATTGTTATTTTGACCATTGTACTGTATTTGATTGAACATTGTCACGAGATCACGTCATGATTGAACTCTTCACGGCCACTCGACTTCTTGGGCCTCAAGTGCTCGGACCGTATGAAGTTATCAACGCCGCTGAGGGCCGCCTCAGTCACTGAGTTATCCTGACGGTTTGCCTTGTTTTTAGAGCCGCCTCAGGATAGCCTGCACAGTTTGTGGGGGATGAGGGGTCACCAAGTCAAGGGTCTGGTCGGTCCCACTCAGCGAAATGCTTTGGTGCTACAGTTTGCAGCAGCAAGGCAAATTGCGGAGCGTTTAGACGTGGACAATCAATACAATGAAAGAAAAATCAAAAAGATATGCAAGTCGTGTTTCCCCTGAGCTTGATCAAGACCGAGGAGGCCTGGAAGATGTGTTTGAAGTGCGATGATTCATGTATTGCTTGCCAACTGTTCTAACTTCATTTGCAGGACGATCATGAACATGCACCAAGTGATCAAACGGATGAAGATGACGATCATGTTGCAAAGGCAAGTTTATAAGATTTGTCTCAGCCCTTCTTCTTCTTCCCGTTTGCTTCTGGCTTGTTGGCCATGTACATTTTTCAAACTACCTGATGTAATTTTCGCATTTTAGGAGTTCGCATTCGACAGCAATCCACCTAGCACACGGTCAACCATGTACTCAGATGACGGATACGAAGAAGCCGGAGGTCAAATGTATAAACAAAGGCATTTCAAGAAAGCCGGTTGCTGTGAGGTGTCTGAAGAGCCGTTGCCAGTCCGAAATGTCTGCGGTTGTGATACTAGAAATTCATTCCGCATGTTTTGCCTCGTCGTGGCAGTCAATCCCTGGGTAAATCGCATCTGGTTTTGGACGTCTATAATTCACAGTACGTTCCTCATTGCGGAATTCCAGACTGCTGTCTTCGACTGCACGGTTGATAATAGTCTGGATTGCATAGGGTACATTCCAAATTGGATCAATTTGATTTTTGTGGCCATCTATCTCATAGAACTTTTGATCAAAAGTGTTGCATTTGGTTTCTTTGGGGGCAAATTTGCGTATTACACGTACGATTTCTACAACAAAATTGATCTTTGGATAACAATATTTTGCGTTCTTGAAATCATATTGTCCTACGTTGATGTTTTTGTCTCATTTCGATCATTTCGATTGCTGCGCTTGATCAAATCATTGTCCAAGTTTTCAGTCTTGAACGAGATCAAATATTTTTTTCAATCTATAGTATCATCTATGATTCCTTTGTCAATGGTCATGATTCTCATTCTATTCATGTTTGTTTTATTCGGCGTTGCTGGCATGTCTTTTTATCAGTACACGTATCGTCGAAGATGTGTAATGTATTTTGATCCATATATCCGAGCAGTAACTTGCTTTCAAGGTATGGAGTGACACGCTGGAGATCAAGCAACCTGAGCAATGGTGCAAACGTTATGCAGACAAGTTGTCGCTCGATGGGTCGGTGTTGGGCCTTGAGAATACATGTGGTCCCCTGCAAAGCTGTTTAGATATCGGAAACCCAAATTATGGGTTCTCAAGCTTCGACAACATGGCAGGTTGATGGTTTTCCTTACTCATTCGCTGAACTAACCAGTGATTTGCATCAAAGCTGCATTGATTTCTCTGTTTCAAGCATTCTCAACGGACGGTCAATACCAAATTATGTGGGCTGCCTTACAAGGCGAACCCGATTTTGAATTCCTGACATTTATATACTTCATAATATTTGCATTTGCTGTGGGTCAAGTTCTCATCAACGTTTTCCTAGCAGTGTTTGCAAATGTTTTTTCAAAGGTCAGAGAAAAGGAACCAGAAACAGAGAAAGCTGGAGGCTTGGAAAATCAAAGTGAGAGTTTTAGTACTGTTGAAGAGAACACAAGTAAGGAATCAGATAAAAACAATGGTAACGGTCAAAGTCACTTGCCAAAACTTGAAACAGCAGAAATGGGAAAGGACTCAGAATCAAAATACAAGAAAAAAACTGATGAAGCTTCCAAAATTTATCAAAGAATTATGAAAGCTTATGTTGCATTCCAAGAACAAACAAAACGTAAAATTCAGACTAGCGTAATGATGTCTATGGTCTTCAGAAGCGTATACTACGATACCTTGTTGTTTTTGGCAATTATGACAAACTCGCTCGCACTTGCGATGGAAGGAAGTCTTACGGGCCCTAACGTTGACTCAATTTTGTTGACGATCGAAAATTTCTTATCTCTGTTTTTCTTTTGCAACGTTTTCTTGCAGATCATATGTGATGGCTCACTGCACAAACATTTTGAAAATGGAGAGAATGTTTTTGAATTCATAGTAACTTTGCTAACCACAACGGCCCTAATCGCTGAATTCCTTGGAGCAGGCAACAATGCTACATCGGTTTTGAGGGGTGCTGGTATCTTAAGATTGATGAGGGGTTTGAAGTTTTCCTTTCTGCGACCAATCTGGCTGATGCTTATAAAAGCTGTGAGTGCAGGAGTTTCAGTAATCAATCTGATACTTTTCATTTCAATCTTGACTGCAATTTTTTCCTTGACTGGACGAAGTTTGTTTGTTAATAGAATATCGAATGCACAAGCAAATTTTGATGATTTTGGAAGGTCTTGCATGACTCTCTTTCAGGTCATGACAGGAGATAGTTGGTCTGGACTAATGTACCAAGGAATGGACTCTTTCTGCTCCGCCAACGAAGGGACATGTTCGGACCTTTCGTGCAGCACTTGCCCATATGGGTATGTTCTTGTTGCAGCACTATTTTACGTTTTCTTCTTTTGGATCGGCCAATTTGTATTCATTACTATGTTTTTAGCGCTCGTGTTGGAAAAGTTCTCGGTGGAAGAATTCATGACCTCAAGCGTGTCTAAAACAGAAGATGTTTACTTGGATTTTGACGCTGCAATTGAAGAAGTTGCAAAATATCAAAAATTAGCGCCTGCTTTAGTTGCACGACCCTTGATTGAGCAAGCCTTTATTGAGGTAGCCGACAAATCAACAAATACAATCGAGAAATCCAAACTTCTTTCTTTTGTGAAAATGAAGCAGCCAATGCTTATGTGGAGATTTCTGAAAGTCTCGAGATTGTATGATCTTTATCAGGGCGTCAAAAAATGTTTGGCTTGCTTCCGTTCGAGCAAATCAAGTAAGTTACCATCAAGTTTGAAAATAGCACCTTCCGAATCTTTGAAAATGATAGATCGAGGCTCGATAGAGAAAAAAGTTGCGAAAGATATGAGAGAGGACATTAAACTCTACATGTCGAAATTGGCAGCTTTTGGAATATTGGGCGAGGTGACCATCCATGCTATCAAGCTTGGAATTGCAAATCAAGTCAACTTTCGTGATTTGAAACTGACTCCGGTTGATGCAGCTCTCAAGATATTGCGCAACCCAGATATCGCTTGGAGGCTTGGAATTCCGAATTTGTTTGAAAACCGAATCGAACAGGAGGTGGCCAATGCTAGACTCAAATCTGAAGCTCCAATTGATGAAAGCAATCAATTTGCAACGGAAGAACGAGACTCGTTTCGCTCTAAAATGAACCGGTTGTTGGTCAGACTTGCTGACAGTAAGACGTTTGACAACATCGTTTTGATAGCAATAACCATGAGCACGGTCTTTTTGACCTTTGAAACTCCATCTCGATTGATTCCTGGACCCGTATCATACGAGTTGCTGGATTTAATGAATATCTTATTTACAATCATTTTCACAGTCGAGGCTGTTGCAAAAATAGGTGCCAATGGATTGCTTTTACCAAACAGTGTTGAGCACACAGCTTATTGGCAGTCCATTCCGAACAGAATGGACTTTATTGTCCTTGCTTTCAATCTTGCAGAGCTGTTTGGAATAGGCGCTTTGGTTGGAACAAGAACATCGAAACTCATCAGAATCTCAAAAGCATTAAGACCATTGAGGTTGATGAGTCGATTTGAAGGCACTAGAGCAATTGTCAAGGCTCTAGTTGGGTCAGTAAAGCCAATTTCATACGCTGTCCTTTTCTTGTTCATCAATTGTTCGGTGAGCATATCTCTTTCCTTTGCGTTGATTGCTTACTCATAGCTTTCAGATTTTTGCGGTGACTGGAATGGCGCTATTCAGAGACAAGTTCTATTCGTGCAATGACGGGTCTCTCGACGGTCTGCTCGGCGAAGGCCGGACTCAATGTGCTGGGCAATTCTTGAACGAAGACGTTTATTCTCCCAGGTCATGGTCCAACCCTCCGGCTGGCACTCATTTCGATACCTTTCCGGACGGAGTGCTGGCCCTCTTTCGAGTCATCACCTTAAAGTGGAACGCAATCTGGATCACTGGACAGGATGCCTATGAAGTGAATTTGCAGCCTGTGCAAAACTACAACTCGTTTGTTGCAACTGTCTTCTTTGCATTATTTATTTTTGTGGGATCCTTTTTCTCACTGAATCTGTTTGTTTCATTTATTTGTGACGGGTTCTATGCCTCTCAGGGAGTGGATACATCGGAAGAAATCCAATGGGCATCAATTCGAGATATGATCAAAAGGCATCTGCCAGCACGCGAAAGAGTTTATCCCGACAACTTGACAGCTCGATATGCCAGAGGTGTTGTCCTGAGCTATCAGTTTCGCTATTTTTCAGCTGGTTGTCTTTTGGTCAATATCATGTGCATGTCATCGTCTCATGTAAATCCAAGCAGCTCTTTCAGCCTGTTTCTCTCAGTGCAGAACGACGTCTTTTTTGGGATCATGTGTCTTGAATTCGTGCTCGATCTTCTCGGATTCGGTCCAGAAATAGCATTTACGCAAGGGAGTGGATTTGATTTTTTTCTGATTGTCGCTACAATTTTTGTAATGACATTTGAAAGCAGCTTTCGATCTGCTGGTCAGGTTGTAAGATTATTGAGATTATTTCGGTTTTTGATGACGTTGTCATCGCACAGTCTTGTGGCAAGCATTTTCGAAACCGTGGTTCTCAGTACGGTACAGACCGCAAACATCATGGTTGTGCTCCTTGTCAGTATGATCGTTTTTGCCGTTCTCTTCGTTCAGCTGTTTGGCACCACTAAATATGGATCAAGACTTGGGCCACAAGCGAATTATTTCACATTTTATTCTGCAATGCTGACACTATTTCAAATAATTTTTGGAGACGAATGGCATCAGTTGATGGACGATTGTTCTATCAATTTTCCCTCTTGCACTCCTACTGTATACGACAGAAATGGAAATGAGTTGAGGATTGGAGATTGTGGCACACGGGTCGGATCGTTGCTGGGGTACCATTTCTACATGATCATTGTTCATTACACGATCCTGAACCTCTTCATCGGGATGATTATGAATAATTTTGCGTACATTACAACAAAAGACTCACAAGGAGTCATCAAGGAGGCAGAAGTTAAAACGATTTCCCGCATATGGGTGCAAATCTTGGATCCAAAAGCTAGTGGATGTGTAAAGCTGCATCAGGTTTACAAGTTTTTATCAGCTATTGGTTCGCCCCTAGGTTTCTATGACTCAGGCAATAATCTTCACAGGTACCTTTGCATTAGAGAAGATTTGAGTCGTCAGCTGAAAATTCTTGAGGAAAATCGAGATCATGGCAACAAAGGTTTCTTATTTTTCCTCAAGGACCTTGAAAGCAAGCTCTACCAAGAAGCGAACAATCAATGGAAAACAGTGCAGAATCAAGCTGAAGAGTATAGGAAACAACTTGAGTCATACTATTCAGGAAATAAATCATTCAAATCAGATCTAGTTGGAAAGGACGCACAACACGAAGGAACTGATTCTGATGCCAGCGCTGAAAATGATGATTCTCCCTCGGATACAGAGAACCAAGTGCACGTGTCCGGCGGCAACATGGGATCTAAAAGGGATAGAGGACGAGTGCGGGTCAAGAAGATCAAACGTATAGACTCCAGTAAAGCGCTTGACAAGATAATTACGGACTTGCAGACGAAAAGCAAGAGAGAGCTCAAACGACTTGAGAGAGAGGTATACTTTGACCTGTTACTGTTTGTTTTTGTAACCAGCATATCCAGGCAAAAGAGAAAGAGATGTTTGCATTGCAAGCTTCACAATTTTCAAAGCCAACTGTGACTAGCTACATGCGAATGATCTCATTTCTCAGGTGGCTCAGTGAGCTCTTTGTATCTCGACAAAAGATTCTTGAGACTCATCGAAGCTATGAAGTTCTTCTTTACACAGAAGTACTCGAAACTTGTTTGGTGTGGATGAAAAAGTCAATTCTGCCTTCAAGAATAGCTCACAACAAGAACGATTACTTGGATAGCATTCGCTCAACAGCTTCCACGCAATTAGCAACAGCAGTCATCAAGGGAGGAATTCAACGGCGAAGATTCCGAGCTATCAAGAAGATGACTAACGCGTTGTTTACATCGACGCACTTCCTCAAGAAGAACAGACGAAATTTGTTGAAGCAAACTCGCAGTTCCTCTTTCAAAATAAGATCGTTTGGTTTGGATTCCAAGAGAGCAGAGGAAATCTTGTTGAGTAACCACTCTGACGCGCTTGTGAAATTTGCAAAACTGGTCAAATATCGGTTTATCACAGAATCTGAAATATTGGAAATCGCCGAGGAAGGAGGAGTTGTTGTGCAAGAAGAAGACATCATGGATGTAGATGAATTCATGCTCAACCAAATATTGTCTCTGCAAGAGATTTCGATTCTCATACCTCACATCGACTTGAGGGAAAAGCTTGACGACCTTATAGAGAAGGGATATGAGAATTCCCTTTGGAAACTTGCAAGAAGCATGGGTTTTATCGCAGGAAATTCTGCAAGGTTGTCCTCGTTGTCTCATGCTCAAGTGAGTGAGCTTTTGCATAAGTTCGAAGAGGATTCCAGCGAGAAAAACAACATAGCTGAATCACAAGCTCGCATGAAGCAGTACAAGTTACAAATGGCTCAGTATCGCGAGATCAAAGGCTCTTTGAGCGACATTACACGAGGAAATCAGGAAATAACAAGAGTGATCCTTGAAACTCGCAAAAAATGTGATGAGTTGCAAAAGGAAAGGTCTAAGCTTATGAAGACTGATAGAACTTATGCCGCAGACGACTCGTCTTGAGAGCATTTCACTGAATTTTATTTCTCGTGTCCTGCTTTGTTGGGGCGCCAAGCTTAAAGATCGAGATCTCTAGGAAAGAAGAGATCTCCCAGCATGCTGAGATACTGTAATGCAAGAAAGACAGAGAAGCAATAATGGAGAAGATAAAAACAGCCTTTCTGGTCTCCAACCCTATTAGAAGCATACCTGCGCAGAATCGTCATCAAGACTGCGCTCAGGAAACGAACAGACTCACATGATAGCAACATGGTTGGCATTACGAACAGAAAATACTTGGATGACAACTCGACATGCGACATATGAGCAACGATGATGGAGATGACCTGCAAGACACAGTCACTTCCAAACCAAAACTCCACGATCAATACATAAGAAGATGTTTGAAATCCGATGCCAAGAAGGAAGAGAACTTCCATGCTCGGAGTAAGCTCGTCAGCAATCATGGCAAAGCTTACTGTACAGTATTCAGATCCACAGATGGAGAAAAACTACATTCTACCGCATGAGGACAAGCAGGTAATAAACAGACCACCCCACAGTTGCCATGGCTTTGTGGTGGCATGTTGCACCCCAGATTTGTTGTAGCATTCATGGATGTTCGATACGATCGCATTGAATGAAAAAATGAAAATGCCCAACGTGGGAATATCTGCAATTTTGATTGAGAATGCTAATTCTCTTGTGAACAGATCTGGGTCCACAAATGCGCACAAAAGATTTGTTATGATTCCTCCCCATTGAATTTCCGTCTGCATAAAAGTCATTTAGGAGTGGTTGAATTTCACTTGGTACCACATCAAACAACCCGAATTGAAGGTACCCAAGGTAATAAGTCTGCAGCATGCTGGTCAAAGACTTGTTCGCATGCCAGGCTTTACCTGGATGTGAGCCCCAGCAAAAGACGCCATCGCTGATAGAAAGGTGACAAAGCCATACCAGCCTGTGCCCAGCTGAAGTACATAAATGCTCGAGAGTGCGGCAAAGATGGTAGATATCGCATCACACCCATGGTCGAAAAGCTCTCCGAAACTTGATTGCGAGCCTGTTCTTCGAGCCTGCTTGCCGTCTAAAGCATCGCAGGTCTGATAAATAAAAATCCCGATTGCGTTCAATAAATAGACCCACTGAGGGGCAGGAGACGACAGATCTTGACAGCTGATGATGGTGATAATAGCTGGTACCACCATGAAGAATAGTCCTCCTAGGGTCAGTGAGTTGGGTGCTGACCAATGGACAGACAAGCTCGGATCCTGACTGGAGGGCAAACATTCCACTAGCCATGACCAGAACTTAGACATGACGTGCTTGTCGAGGATTGAGCTGCCTCTCGAAGCATATTTGTGATCAAATGCTAGTGAATACAACTCCTCTTCGCTGAGGTATTTCATGACTTCAGATCTGCGGAAAATTCAAACATGGGAAGCAACAAGATAATCTATCATTGGTTTCTTGTTTCTGTTCATCTAGATTCTATTCCCCTTCTCGTCTCTCATCCTTCCATCGGCCTCTCTGTCTCCCTGCCCCTCTTTCGCTCCTGCAGCCCTTCCCCTCCTCCCCAAACACGCCAGTACAGACGTCGCCCTTGCATGTGCAAGGATTTTCACTTGTCGAAAATCTAAAATTATCTTATGTTCGCAGGAATCAAAACAGTGGTGTTCATGTAACGGTTATCATAACGGCTATTGCCACATCAGGCGGCCGATGTCGGAACGAAGCAAGGGCCGGAGGAAGGAGCAAGGGAAAGGACGAGAGAAGACAAGAGGGAGGGATCAAGCGAAGGATCAGGCAGAAGCAAGTATGAACGAGATGAAAGACTGTGAGAAGGAGCCCAAGGCGATGGCACAAGCAAGCCCAGAGGATGAAAGCACGCGTGCAGACTGCGGCCAACACAGTGGAACTCTCACTATTGACCCTAGTGGAGGTTGCAAGGAGGATAAGATGGAGCGTGAATCTATCCAAGAACTCTCAGGAACGGTCTGTTCCTTCGACAGAAGCATTGAAGAAGGTCAGATTCGGACAGATGATGGTGTCACATATAACTTCAAAATATCATCTTTTGTTGATCCAAGCCAGATATTTGAAGTCAATCAGGTCTTTACTCGCAAATTTTCTTTCAGAATAATCGTGCTGATATTGAACGTATAGCGCATTCGATTCCATGTACGCCAGAGCGACAACCAAGTCATGGACTTAATGTTGCTCACCACAACTGGCGGCCAGCAACTGGAAACCTCGTCCGATGAAGGTTCTTTCCCTATGCTGAGTCAAGCTGTTTCTGACCCCTCCCTTTATCTAAGCCAAGTGTCACTCCCAAGGAGAAAATGTAGGAGGTGAACGGCTTCTTCGAGACGATGCAGAATGCTTCTTGGCCGATTACACAAAGGCTGGATCTGCAGGGCCCGGAAATAGCTTGAAATTCAAGCACTACAATGCAGTGAAGAAAGCAAAGATCTCTCGGGCACTGGTGGAGGTTGATCCTGATGTGCAGCTGAGGGTACGGAAAGAGCCTTCGGTGGATGCTGAGGAAATAATGTCAATCGGGGCGGATGATGTCGTCGAGGTTGTCGGGGAGTGCGGCAACTTTCTGAGGTTGTCCGGAGACGAGGAGAGATGGATTCTCTACCAGCAGGACGACATTATTCTCATAGATTTTCTCTTGTCGAGTTGGTCATGGGGTGGTAGCTGGGGATTTGGAAACAAAGCAAGTACCATTGAGGTTGATAGCATGGATGAAGAAAAGCATGAGAATTCCGAGAAGGATTCTTCGCAGAGTTGGAATTTCTCAGGTTGGACCAAGACTGTGGCATCTTATGCTCCTGTGGCGAGTGCGCTTGGAACTGTATCAGCAGTAAGCAAGAACATACTCGCAGCAGGCAATGATGATAAAACACAACCTGAAGTCCATACAAGTGATAGTGAGGGTCCAGACCTTGCTGATTCGATCACGGGTGAATTTGATCTTTTGATCTTGTTTTTTTCTTACTCTTCCATTGTTTTAGCAAAGGTCGAACAGAGTTTCGACAAACCGATGGAGTTGGAACAGGGAGGGCTGACGTCGGTGCGGGTTGTTTCGCAGGGCATCTCAATGATAGAAGGGACACTCGGGTGGCTGGGGAGTACGGCAAAGGAGAAGGCCAAAGCAGTCTCAGAGTCCATCAACAGTGACGACTTGATGGATAAGGCTTGGTCTGGTGTCGCCTCGGGGGTCAAGGCGTCTTCCAACGCTGTCTCCAGTGCTTCAGAACTTGCTTCTCGCACAACGAACGCAGTTGTCAACAGTGAAACTATTAGCAAGGTTGGGCGGTTTGGTAAGGATACTTTTGCAAACGTCAGCAACACGGTCATGTCTGCAGCGGGGTCTGTGCTGGTGAACAGCAAGGATAATGATGCCTCTCATCCCAACCGCTCGCTTGGCGGAGTTTTATCTATCGAACTAAGTGGATGCGTGATACAACGAGATCCGCACGTCGACGATGAAGATGAGGACCCGTTCATGTCAGACGATTACAACACGACACCCATGACATCTGGTGCGCTTCAATCTATAAGCAAACTTGTGCAAGAGCGGTTCACAGACAGGGTATAACTTGGATTGTCCGGAGTTGCCTTCATTCCTAATCTCACTCAAAGGTGTATCTTATCTGCGTAGCTGCTCCAGCTGTTCAAGCCCGCGTTCTTCGCTGGTTGTCATCAAGGAACTTCTACGAAAGCACAGGAACCTCAAGAGGTACTTCCCTTTCTTGCAATCTTTTCCACTCACACTTGCATGCCAAGAACAAGTACATTTTTGCAGAGAGTGGGATGAGAAAGCCGATCTGTGCAAAGAGCTTGGCGTGACGTTTGCAATCGAAGCTAGCGTCACTGGCGCTGGGATTCTGGAAAGCGTGGTAGAGAACGTCTTGCTGTTTGGGGATGGCTATGAAGTAAGCGAGGCCATCAAACCTTGCGAGGAAGGGGCAGAAGAAAAGCAGTCCGACGCATGGTGGGAGTCTCTTTGTAGCCGCCTGCTCCCGCTCGAGGCTGCAAGCAAGACTCCGGAGGAGCCCGAGACAAGTAAAGAGGATTCATAAACCTTGATACCAACAGCAGCCATAACCACACGAACATCTCGTTGCACTTTGCAGCCAGCAATGCTAGCTGACATTCAATGTCCTCATCTCTTCGGCTTGCAGCTGGTCTAGGCGTTTACTTTGCCTGATGAGCTTGGATTCGTAGTTTTTCACCATCCTGGACATCTTTTGCCTTGTCTCCAACAGTTCATTTTCAAGGCGAGGAATCTTACTTTCTGCCTCGCCGTATCTGAACTCAGCAGCCTTGGCAGCAGCGATCAATCTCTGTTTAAGATCTAGGATGTACTCTGCATCAGATTTTGCTTTGCGCTCCAATGAAGAAATCCTGTTCCGAAGAGATTGAACTTCCTGCTTGGATAAATCACGAGCGATTTCCTTGACTTTCATCATAGCTGAGTTGTATTTACTGGAAAAAGTATCTTGAGCAAACCCGTTCTTGATCCTTGCCTGATGAGCCTGCTTCAGAGTGGAATATCGTTCTTTCAAGAGCTCGTTCTGCTGCTTTAGAGGAGCTATGATGCGTTGGGTCTCTTTCAACTGTTGCTCCCTATCTCTCTCTCTCGCGCGGTTGATCTCTCGCTGCAACTTGTGCTGCCGGTTCCGAGTTCTCATCTCGATGGCGTCGAGAGACCGTTGTGAAGCCTTGAGAGTCTCGTCGAGCTCTGCGATGATTCTATCTTTAGCCCTGATCTCTTGAAGCAGCTTTTTCTTTGTGACTTCTTCGTCTTTGCTAAACACATTGGTATGATCCCACTCTAAACCGGAGTCCAAGATGTAAGATTCTCCTTCCTCGGTCTCTTTCATCACAGTTGCCCACGGCCCTTTGGATCTCAGAACTCCTGGAACCCACAGCAGCGGGGAAACGAGAGAACGCGTTCCTTTTCTTGGAACTTCGATTTCATCTTCGACAAACGACACCTTTCTTCGGATGGCCTTGAAATCATTCGCATCTTTCAAGATGTTCGACGACAGCGGCGGGGGGACCATGAGCTGTTTGGAAACGTTTTCTGTAACCTGATTAGCTGTTTCTTCTCTTTCCTTCCTGAAGTTTTGGATATCGGGAGGGTGTTCCCTGTAATGATGTAAAAGTGTGGAGGTCATGTAACACAGATCCGAACGATCAAATCAGTTAGCCATCGGAGTTTGACTCCTGCAAGCTCCAAACGTCTGCCAGTCGCCTCCTCCTTCACACCGATGATATCGGATCTTCGAGCCTCTCGCCCTCGTCTGTGGAGCTCACGGAGTGCTTCAATGGTAGCATGGGCCGACCGGGACTCGATCACTGCGGCACTCTCCTGATTGTCCTCGTACTGATTTTAACTTAACTTTGAGTAAAAAAGAGTGGCAGCGGCCCGACCCAGTAGAGTAGCAGGCCGCGGCTGGTGACCGGCGGACGCCCGACTCGCTCCCCGCCGGGCCCGGCATAGCGGCTGCCAATCCAGTCAGCAGTTTAAAATTGAAGCACGTGGCTCAGGTTCCGTGATCACCAAAGCCTATCACGAGTCCTTACAGCAGACCACGGCCAGAGGCAGAAGTAGAGCACAAAGACGACAAGCGGTAATATCCTTCAGTGCCTTTGACAAAGTTCTATGTTTCACACTGAGGCGAGGGCGTGATGAGCGGAAGTTTCTTTCCGTGTCCCTTTCAAATTAAGTAAATTGTTGTCGTACCGGAGAACGTCCGATACATACCCTGAAAGTCCCGGGATAATGTAGGGGTCCTTGAGGTCTCCGACAAATATTGGACTGGAGGGTACTTCATCCGGTCTATTATGTGGGTAGGGGTAGTCGCAAGAGGGCGCCGAATCCTTTCTTGGCGTATAGTAAAGATTGAGCAGCCGGAAGCTCATTCGAAAAGAGAATATTTCGAATTACATTACAACACACAAGTTGTCCCCTTCTGATCATATAGTTGAAGTCGAATCCTCTCACGAGGAACCTCCGCATCTACACCCACTGCCGTCGTCATGGGGTTCTTCAGTGATCGTGGACAATCTTTATCCTTCTTTTCCTCTAGTTTGAACAAGCTTACCTTTGGTTCGGGAAAGCAGAATGAGCGAACTCTGCATGCCAAAAGAAAGTGCTCTTTGAATCCTGTGGCAGTCACCGAAGAGACAAAGCAAAAAGTACAAGAATTGAACGAGGAGCGAGAGACCAAGCACGGATGTCCATCACGCCTGAAACAGTTGATATCGCTTGCCAAGTCGATCAGGATCATCAAGAGAAAGACCACAGTGTACAGTGCTCGAGGAGAGGCCATGTCTTGGGAATCAGATACAGCTGCAAGCAAGCAACAAGGGTGAATCTGTCCTGCTCAAGATGATGATATTTTTGTTCACTTATGTCTGTAAATTATTCCTGCATTGATCTCACTATTTCTGATAAAACATTGTGCGTTCATTTCAAACATTCAGTTTTGAACACTCTGCAAGGAACCATCGTCCGTTGAATTCCATGCCCTAGTGCAGCTTTCTACTAAGGACAGTGCAGATGTGTTTGATCTTTTGCAAATAAACAACATCATACTACAGGGCGTAGGTGCAGTCAGAACATCTACACCTTACAGGATCGTCGAGCGCTGACCAAGGATCTCGTACCTACAACAGCTTGCGAAAATAGAGTGAAGATCCCTTGTCTGGAACCGATTGATAAGAATCTGTCCAGGCGCAAACTTCGAGTTGCTTGCGTGTTGAGCCAGACTTGTTATTTCATGCATGCAACGAATTGATATTCACATGATCTGCCAGCCATTGGATCAATTACTTTGTTCGCATTTCCATCATTCAAGTTCGGTTTTTTGAGTTTACTTCCGAGTTCGAAGTAGTCTCCATGCTGTCTCAATGATGTTCTACTCTAAGCGCTTACCGCCTTACCGTCGGGACTGTTGACTGACTGAGCCTCAGTCTCGGTCAGGGGTGACCGTACCATGTGCACGGCAGTGCAGTCACAACGCCGCTTCCGAGTCAGGCCCCAGTTGGAGTCTCATCATCGACGTGCGGCAGTGCGGTTGCCACCGACCCAGTAGTACTACGGTACACAGCCTGTAGTGCGCCTGATCGAGTACGGTCTTACTATATGTCAGAACGCCGCCGTCGCCGGACGATGCCGCTGGCTGGCCCGGGCCACACTTGATGGCGGACTCCGGGAGTCCGACCGGACCGTCCGGTCGTGCAAGAAGTAACGGAATGGAACTTTATAACGGATTCACACGCATAAAAGGAGCAATGCAGTGCGTTCAGTCAGGTCGAGGGTGTTGGGCCCTGGCGATGTTGGTGATCGCCACCTTGATGTCTTCTCCTCTATCCGTTGGTGCCTTTTCTATGACTTCCCTGCCCATATCCGGTCTCAAGGGCGGCGCAAGGACAGGAACATTGCGCCTCCAATGTGCTACGACTGCTGGATCAGTGTCGGAGGTGAAGCGAGACATCTTACAGATCGCAGCAGCAACGGACAGAGGTCAGAGGCTCAACCAGCTCGTAGCTCCTGTCTACCAAGAGTCTCGTGGAAAGATTGCCAAGCTGATCGACGAGTTAACAAAGGTGACATGGAATTCTCTTGAAAGTTTCCATGTGAGACAATCCACAGAACGAGTGTGAGATCAGCGAAAAGACTCTTTCTGGAGAATGGGAGCTTGTTTACAGCGACGTGGAGCTGTTTCGAAGCAGTCCTTTCTTCCTAGCGATCGAGCAGGCTCTCGACACTTCTCCTGGCATTCCGACTCTCGGCAAGTGGCTCGGTGAGTCGAGGGTGGTTGTGTACCTGTGCTCAAGACATGTACAGGAATAACGGACCCAACGAAGAAGTCGGTTAGCAGAGAAGCTGGATGATGCAAAGTTGCTGCTGACTACAATCAACCATGACAGGCCATGTTCTTCAAGCTGCATCAGCTTCAAGTAACGTTTCCCTGAGGATACTTTTGCCCTTATCTGAGCTCAGGTCATGTCCTGGGGGGCGAGCACTGTGGGAAGAGTGTCACAGAATCTAGATTTTGAGAAGCAGGCAAGAGCATGGAGGAAGGAGGAAGAAGCTTTTTGCTGACGTCATCATGGCAGGAGTTGGAGTCTGCCTTCGACACCATCATCTTCGGGTTGACGGTGATCCCCATCATTGGGTTGTCGAGACTTATTCTATGTCTTGCTTCTGACTCTCGTCTCAGATGGTTCAAACTCCTCCCTACCTTCGGCGGCCGCGTCGTCACACTCGCTGACAAACTTCAGCTCGAGGGATCAACGCTGGTTGCCTCAAGTCCCTCGTACATGCGATACTCACCCCGCAGGAAAGACCATGGAGCTGCAGAAAACTGAAGTTCGGACGTGCCCTGGCGTGAACCGACTGCCCCTATTTGCTGACTTCTTCATGGATAGGTAAGAAGAGGCTCTGCTGAGGATTTGCTGAGCTGTGTGCAGGTGGTATCCTGTCAACTCGGTGTGGAAGCTATTGCCGTGGAACGGGGGTCCCTTCAACGGACGAGCTCCGAGTTGCAAGGCAAGCAGTGAGAAGGAGGAGGGAGGGCGCGTGAAATGCTTTTGCAGATGGAAGTGGTGTATGTGGATCAGGACCTGAGAGTCTCTCGGGACTTGAGCGGCGCGCACTTTGTTTACACTCGTCCACAATGAAAAAGAGAAGACACGAATTAGACCCGCATCTGTCCGACCTTTGACAGAACCTGCTTATTGTTCTTGTTCAAATGATCCTGCAACCAGTCAGAACGATCATCACTGAGATCACATTATGCTTACTAGGCTGAGGTCAAGCGGAGGACAGACAGCCTCGTTCATCGGCTTGAACATTGCAAGCACCTGATAGCACCGCATTTACCCTCCTGCTTAGCAACTGCACATTCACTTCACCTCCTCCTGTGAAGGCTGCGGCTGCCATGACGGTTTTCCGTCCTTGTCAGTTTCGAATGCTCGCACCTGCCTTCACTTTAACCAGCGGAAAGCGAACACGAACCAGTGCTTACCCCCTCCTTGAAGTCTTGCCACTTGCGATGAACAAGTCGCCACTATGTACGAAGCTTCAGATTTGAAGGGGGCAAAGTGATGTCAACCTCTGTTCTCAAACATTCCTCAAGTTCGCAAGATGCTCCTCGTCGGAACAGTTCGAAGGTGACATGAAGAGCAGTCGGAGACATGAGCTGCAGACGTTCAAGCGTCCTGGTCCATGTCAGTTAAGATGGACTTGAATTGAAATTCTCACGATTGAGCCCATGGAGTGCGTTCCTGTTGTAATGCTTCCAATATCTCTGCCACGGATTGCTGTCCGAAGCATCTGCAGGCTCAGTCAGACAGGCCTCTTGCTTCTCATCCTCGTGCCGATCGATCGCTTCTTGGTTCTCCTCGAGGTGCGTAGGCTCAGTGACACCCGGCATGGAATATCTGGTGAGAGTCAGCCCTCGCTTCTGAGCGCAACTTCACGTCACCGAGCGTAGTAGGAGGGAGGAGAATCAAATGTTTTGGGAAGGCAAGTCAACTCTTTGGTGCTCTCGAAACTGACGTAACGTTGGTGAGAATCAACCTCCTTGATTCTCTCTCACCTGGCCGAATGGTCGGCAACAATCGCATCCACCTGCTCCGAAGAGACGTCCGCAGGCTGTCCGATGGCTCGGTAAGCATGGTACACGTGCATCGAAGACGAAAGTCACCGAGTTGATCAGAGCTTTCAGGCATTTGTCCAATCGATTCCTCGGCACAAAATGTGAAGCAGCTCCTAACGACGGGCAGTAAGATGTCTACCCAGCACGATACCAGCTGTATCACCAGCATAGAGCGCATCAGCTCCGTTGATCCGAGCTCCAGTCAAAGCGAGGTACAAGCCGATATGTCCCTTGAGGCGAGGGAGGTAAAAACTGCAGCCATTGCCGGGCGACATACCAAGAAAGTGCGCATGCTAGGAGCAAGTGATTGTCACGCACAGACAGAGACGAGGATGCATAACCTGAAAAGACAAGACAGTTCGACTTGTCGCTATTCTCATATGCCCCTTCCCCGACTGTCACGTGCCCGGGTGAGCGGATCAGCAAGTTGCCCTTCAGGTTCTGACCTGCGACGTGTGGGCGAGTGCCAGGGCCGCACCAGCTCCGATGCAGTGCCCGTCCATCAATGCCAGCCTCTTCTTGCTGCTCTTCGCTATGATCCATCCAAGTTGATACTGCACATGCTGGGGATCCAGCTGACCAGCACTCGTGAGTTGAGGCGAGCTCGCTATCTTGTGCTTCACCTCATGAGGACGATTGTCCCTGTTCATCGCCAACGCTCTGACGTCTAGCCCCATGCAGAAACTCTCTTCTCCTCCTTTGAAGATTGTAAACTTTTCGTACCAGTTGCAATCAGACAACTGACAGCCAGAAAAGTAAGTCAGTGGGGATAGACTACCAAGAAAAATGCATACCTGGATGATATCCTTCAAGCTTCGTAAAGCCTCTTCGGACAATGTACCTCTTCTGTTCTTGAAACTGAAGACCTTGCAATTGTGATAACAATCTACCTGGAATCAAATGTGAACACCCAAGTCAATCGTGTAGATGAGAACCATTATTTCACCCTTGTCGACCTGCCCGAGGAAGTCTTTAGATCTCAAAGGGTCCTTCAAGCTCTGTGACAGTCTTTGTGCCAAGGTCTTAGTACCATGTCCTGCCACCTACGATGCGTCAGCGGCGGGATCAGGCATGTTTCCACAAGAAACCGTAGGTGCGGCCGACTCCTCGTTATGTGCCGAACTGGACTGGTCTTGCTGTGCTTTCAACTTCTTGAGCTGCTCCTCAAAGCTTCTGGTCTTCCTCCCCGTATCGACTCCAAGTTTCGACGACAAGCGCTTGCGAGGCATGGAGAATGGGTTTGTCATCCAGCGCGTCCTACCCGCAAACGTATAGCTCTTGAGTACCGGACACATCTACACGAGGACAAGAGTAAGACAGTTGTTTCAGCAAAAGATTTCATCTCATCGCATGCTTCGATCACTGCACTCTGTTGCCCTCAACTAAATCTTCACCTGGCCGCTACAATCTAGTGCCTCCTGACTTGCCGATGCTCGGGGAAATGTTCATGACCGAAGGGGACGGAAGACTGGCACTTGTTGTTCCGCATCCTCTGAGCTGCTACTCGGCTCTACCAACAGAGGAATGCAATGTACTGACATCTCGCCATGGTGCCATCGAACGTCTGCTGCTTCGCTCATTGCCCGGAACCTCTCGCATCACGCCCTTTCCCCCTCCAGGTCAACAAGCATGTTCTTGCAATTCCCCCACCGTTGGGGAACCGTTACATGGTATTCGGGAGGAACTTGCAACTTCAACCTTCAGCCAGTATGAGGCCCCCGCCTGCCTTTCATCGTCTGCGTGCTCGTCTGTTTCGACAGTATCCAGCTCGCATGGGGCTTGCCGTCCTCCTCGCTCGCGCAGGGCAGACATTTACTCACAAGTCGAAATCAGAGTAGCCTATGCTGACATTTACACACAAGTCGAAATCAGAGTAGCCTATGCTGACATTTACACACAAGTCGAAATCAGAGTAGCCTATGCTGACATTTACACACAAGTCGAAATCAGAGTAGCCTATGCTGACATTTACACAAGAGTCGAAATCAGAGTAGCCTATGCTGACATTTACACAAGAGTCGAAATCAGAGTAGCCTATGCTGACATTTACACACAAGTCGAAATCAGAGTAGCCTATGCTGACATTTACACACAAGTCGAAATCAGAGTAGCCTATGCTGACATTTACACACAAGTCGAAATCAGAGTAGCCTATGCTGACATTTACACACAAGTCGAAATCAGAGCAGCCTATGCTGACATTTACACACAAGTCGAAATCAGAGTAGCCTATGCTGACATTTACACACAAGTCGAAATCAGAGTAGCCTATGCTGACATTTACACACAAGTCGAAATCAGAGTAGCCTATGCTGACATTTACACACAAGTCGAAATCAGAGTAGCCTATGCTGACATTTACACACAAGTCGAAATCAGAGTAGCCTATGCTGACATTTACACACAAGTCGAAATCAGAGTAGCCTATGCTGACATTTACACACAAGTCGAAATCAGAGCAGCCTATGCTGACTGAGCTACGAGGTGAGCCGGAGAGGAAGACCCAGAGCGAAGAGAGAAGGGGAGATGAGAGAGTCAAGTATCATGAGTCAAACTCTGATACCCACGCTTGAGGAAGATATCGTTCCTGCGTGCCTCCTCCAGTGAGTCTGAGCGGCGCTTTGTTCTTGCCTTTTTCCTGTGGTCGATCTCTCTGCTGTCTCTGCCCTTCCTCGTCGCCTGTCTCCATGATCTCCGACATCTCATCTGGACTCGTGCGGTTCTGATGTCGTCCTGAAGAAGCAGTACGCAAGGAGTGTCTTCTGCTGAAGTCGAAGACAGCTTTGGCTCCCCGTGCAAGCTTGTCTCGCGTCCAGGTCACGGAGTTCTGTCTCACTCTCCTCACCCCCAGCATCTGCATCTGCTCCCTCTGCCGCTGCCGCTGCTGCAAGAATCCCAGCAGGCCCCCCATCTCCCGGTTGTTAGTCTTCTCGTCCCCGCTGAATTGGGGAGGAGGCGGAGCTGGATGGGTCGCGATCTGCGTGTCCTGCTCCTGCTGCGCTAGCTCAACTCTGTCGTGCAGGGGCTCTACATTTCCTTCCTCGACATTGTCAGCCCCCTACCAACCTCTTGTCAACATCTCAAGCCTCGTCGCAGCTTCCACCTGGTTCGTCGTCGTGCCTTTCTGCATGGCCTCGAAGAACTCCATGACGACTCTGTCCCCTCGGAACTGCATCAGCACCTCCTGACGCGTTCTCATGTTACTCTCTTGCCGCTTCATTCCACATGTTCAGCTGACCTTAGGAACTTTGGCGCCATTCTGCAGCAGCAATCCAGCCATGGCCAGGTCCTTCTTCCTCATCGCGATCTCGAGCGCGAAGAAAGCTCGGCTGCGACATGGTCATTGTCGTTCTCCTTTAGCTCCTGCTTACCGTTTCCTGACCTGCACGGTCGTTCCCTTCCTCTTCCCATCGACTTGCACGATGTCAACCCGATTGTTCGCCCAGGCTCCTCGACCTTCCCCGTCAAGTCAGGCAGGGCTCACTGAATGCTCTCGCTCACTTGACGCATAGTCAGGAGACGCGCCCAAAGCCAATGCGGCACGAGCAGCGACCAGGTTGCCTGTGAATACAGCCATGCACAGAGCTTCGCCCGTTTCGTGACAGCCTGCCAACATGTTATCACTTGGAGCTCACAAAGACTTCAGACCGATAGAATGCTCTAGAAGATCCTGTTAAGCGCAAGCCCATCAGATGAAAGTGCAGTGTCATACTTCTACTACTTGCCTGAAGTAAGATATAGTTGAAGGAGCTCCTGATGAGATTGAAAAAGGAGAGAAGAATTGAGCTTATCAAAATCGTACCACCTAGACATGTTTTGCAATCAGCGTTGGCACTTGTTTGTACTTTTTAGATCACTTAGACCATCCAGTTCGTACGCAGGTATCGTTTGCCAAGCTCGCAATTGGATGAGTGATTGTGGAAAACTTTGAAAGAGGGAGCAGAAGAACGAAAGTACTAGGGAGTTCACAGATATTCCTTCTCGCATGAATTTCGCAAAGTCTTGAAAGTTCTGGTGACAAATTCCAAATCTGAAAGCTATCTCAAGGGAAGTGAGGAACAAGTATGTAGCTCACGGAGCAAGGGGGCAAGAAAGGATAGCGAAAAGCTCTAGTAGAGTTCCACTGTCCCCACTGTCAGCTCTTGGATCACGATCTTCACCGCAGTCAAAGACCTGTGTGCCACGTCGTCGAGAAATTCAAGTCTCTCATGCTCGTCAATGCTCATCATGTCTGCTAACGATGCGCCATGGCAGAACCCGAACTTGTCAATATCAAGCGCTCCGAACCCTGAGGACAGATGTAAAAACACCTTTCCTCCCATCGAGGTTCCCACCTGCAGTGAAGGCGGCGACTGAAGGACCGATGACCGGGAGCCACAGGAGCATTCCTCTTCCAACTGAGAGCGGAGCAGACACCTACTCCGAGTCATATCATAGTCATATCAGGTGTTGAGTCATATCATAGTCATATCAGGTGTTGGGTAGGAGGCGTACCTTCGAGGCCCACCACCAGTAGGCTACGACATAGAATCGCCAAGAGAGGATCTGAAAGAAGAGGGACAGCACAAACCACCAGCGATGACCCCCATGCGCCCACATGACTAGCTGGTACGAATTCAAGTCAGTTCCCCCTGGTCCCGTGACCGAAGTTTGCGTCGCTTACCACAGCCAAGTCAAGGAAGAGGTCCAGCCCTGCAACACTCTTACATCCTTGGGCCCTCAGCGGGCATAGAGTACCTGGCATTAACGAGAAGAACGCCAGGAGAGGGCGGAAACAAGCGAATCTATAGCGATAAACGATGAGGCATATGACAATGATAGTGCTTTCAAGAACCTTGCTCGAATACAACTGTATCGAACCCTCTTGTGCTTCATCTTGAGCTCCGTGAGCGACTTGGTGAGGTCTCCTGAGATGGAGTCCACATCACTCCTATTCTCAAGGACAGCTCCTGCAGCCGACAGTCATGCGAGTTTCGAGTTGCCCTCCTCACTCACGCGTCCTGAACAGCATCGACATAAAGATAATGGTGCCCAGTAGAGCGTCAAACCCTAGTAGTGCCCATCCTATTTTACACCTACATACCATGGGTCAGATGCCTCCAGCTCAAGCTCCAGTAGGAGCATGCTCGGACCTCAGACGCGTCTCTTGCCCAAGCTGCCAGATTTGCTTCAGGAACAGATAGAATCTGTTGGTGCCTTGATAGTGGCTGATCTCAGGGAAGAAAGACTTGGTGTAGTTGTAGTTGGTGGCGTTGGTTTCCCATATCAGAATGCAGTCAACACGTGCTGCAGCCGAGTGAATGAATCATCGACGAGCTCACATACTCTCACCGTCGGCAACTGGATCGCGGAATGAAATGAATGAAAAGACGATGACAGACAGGATGGTGGACACGGTGCCTGCATGGCGTCAGTGAACGAAGCAAGCAGACGGCATGACTGACAGCAAGAGGTCAAGAAAGCGATCCAGGTGTCATCCTTCCAGTCAATCTCCAACTTGTGGATTTCATACTGTTTGGCGATGTCTTCTTTTCTCATCGCTCCTGATACTTCTGTCGAGCTCTTCTCAGCTCTCCCTTGCAATCTCAGGTCAAGACAAGTCCAGCAGGCCGGCTGAGAGTCTCCTGCTCGAGCTCTTGCTCGGCAATGCCTCCAGGTGATCGATCGCATCGACCATCGTCGAACAACGCCTGGCAACTAGTCATACTCGGACTGATCTGCCGTTGTGACAATAGGTCATTCTTTTTAAGTTTTTTTAGGTTTAGGAGATGTCACCGCATGGCTGAGGCAGGTGGCGGAGGCAGGTGGCGGGAGGAAGGGAGGGGGTTAGAGGGTAGGGAGGAGGAGGCGAAGTGAAGCAAGTCGAGGAGTGATGGCGCCAGTGGAGGCTCAGGACGGCTTGCGAGTGGTGGGATACAATCTTCCTCCTCGCATCGGGTACAAAGTCAAGCTGACGAAACAAGGTCTTGCCAGTCATCCTGCTTAGTGCATGCTCATGATTGTGTTGACAGGCGAACAGTCGTTTGACGAAGTTTACCACAAGATCTCAGGAGGGCGCGAAGGAACGATCACTGATGTCAGAGAAGACGGTCAGATCTGTACAGTTCGATGGGCCCCCGGTGAGGACGAGCATCAATACCGTACAGGTTCCTGGCCCCTTACCCTCGAGTGCGTCTCTGAAACCTCTGGCAGGAAAATTCGGGAGATTCGAGCTCTACTGTGCAGCAGACATGGAGCAAAGGATGAGCAACCCATTTGAAAGGGATCTGCTGAAAACTGAAAACCTCCCCATTCAAGATTCAAATGTGGAACCAAGTCTTGAAAGCCTTTTTGGCAAGGAGAAATCCTTTGAGCCAGGCCAACAAGAGGATGGTAAGAGAAATGAAGCTTCTCTCAGTCTTCTTCCATCGAGGATCTCAGAATCCTTGGCTCCACCGGCCTCGCTCAATTCGAAAGCCGAAGACGCGAACAGACCTTCTAGCAACGCGCTGTTGCCAACCTTCAGCGATGCTGCTGTGACGCAAGGAAGCAGTGCAAGAACTCGCTACAAGAACCCGCTCAACAAGTCCTCCCTGGCGCAGAGCGAGACCATCTCCTTGTCTGGCAGCATCTCCAACGGAGGGATCAAGAAGGAAGAAGCCCTGGTAGCTGGTAGACCGCCAGTGAAGAAGTTGACAATCGTAGACAGTCCAGAAGTATGCAGGCCTGCAGATCAGTCCAGCAAGGGTTCACCTGATGTGAAGTCACCCGAGCTCGAGCTGGCAGCTGAGAAACCGAAACCTCAGTCTCTCGTGTCCATGGTTGTCAAGAATCCGTTGCGACAAGGGCTGGAGTGGGCAGAGAGCAAAAAAGTGACAGAGGACCAGGAGCATCAGCAGTCTCAGACTGATCCTTCGCTCATGACAATCCTGGTCAAGAGGCCGCTGAGAATGGGCCTTGAGCTGGCAGATACGATGACTGAGCAGGCCCAACAAGACCAACGGACAAGTCCCTCCCTGATCTCCCGCGTCATCAAGCAGCCCATTCGAAACTCTGGTCTCGTCATGCCCGAAGAAACCTCGAACGGGAATCAAGAGCCTTCGCTTCTCACTGTCGTCATCAAACGCCCACTGCAGCAGTTTGTCTGGGGTCCTTCTGGCAGCCTTGAAACCGGAAAAGACAGCAAGGAGGACTCAATTGTGACTGAGATAATGACGGGCGTCGAGCAAGATGACGAGCACTGGAACTTTGGGGTTCCGAAGCAGAACACCGAGATCGAATCATCGACAGACAATGATAGCCAAGATGCCGCTCTTGCCCATGCCGGTGAAGGTCAAAGGATTGAGGGAACAACGGACATGAATGAAGATGGTCTACAAAAGATTGATGAGGACATGGAGTATGACCCAGACACCATGATGCCTGTCAGGAAGGGACCTCTCGGTCAGGATGAGGAAGAGGAAGAGATGGAACTTGACCCTGATACCTTGATGCCCATCCCCAAGAAGAAAGTACAGCAGCTGCAGGCCGCCAAACTTCCAAATTTTTCTTCGTTCCGTGCAAGAAAGCTGATTGGAGCCAACACCAAGCCTCCGACAGCGAAGGTAAGTGCTCCCTCTCCTGCTCTCTTTTCAAGACTCTTGCAGCTTATCACTGCTTCTGTCAACGGGGAAGTCGACGACATGGAGACCCTTGACGACACCGCAAGCGTGTTCTCGTCCTCAACCAGAGTGTCTGAAGCCGCCCTCAGAGCACAGGTGGTATGCCAGCTGTACTCCTCCCGCCTGACGTCCACCAGATTTACGCTACGATCCCAAGGAATGACGAGCTGCCGTCTGAGTTGACCCAAACCTTCGAGAATGTCAGGAAGCTCAACTCGGTAAGAGTTTCCTTTTCCACCACCACCACCACCACCACCGCCGCCACGATACACTGCACCTACCAGTCACCACCTCCTCTTCCTCCTTGATCTCCTCCGCCTCTCCTCCCTGCTTATCCTCTGGCTCTGACTTCCGTATCAGTCCACATACTCACCGGGTAACAAGCTCATGGGAGGTCTGGACTCCTTCGAAGGGCATCTACGCGCCAGCACTGTCAGGAGGTCAGCAGCTGTCAAGCCAGCGAAGGCGAAGGACCCGAAGGATACTGATCACGTTGAGGAGATCGTTGAAGGGGTTTCGAAATTCTTCAACTCTCACAGGAACACTGAATGGTAGTCACCACTTGTAGCTCAACTCATGTACATTAAAAATGTGACCGTCAGTCTACCGTGACTACTCCCTTTCCCAGCTGTCCTCGTACTGATTTCTAACTTAACTTTGAGTAAAAGGGTCCTGATTGTCCTCGTTCTGATTCAAAGTTTAACTTAACTTTGAGCAAAGAAAGGACCTCAGTCGAAGGCCCGGGCCCGAACTAGCCTGTTCTCCGATTCGGAGCCCTCGGAGGCCCGGACTGACCTGTTTACTCAAAGTTAAGTGCCACGGATCATGGCGGGCTGCTGTGGATGGGCGCATCGTCGATGGCGAATGACGGCCACAGCGAGCATGAAGTAAGAGAGACATGAGAGACAGTTCATGTAGTATGAAGCTGCTGCTCAAGTGTCATGACGCTGTGTGAGAGGAAGGACGCTGCTTGCTGTTTCTGAACTCTTCAACTGTTCTTCTCACTCGCCCCAAACCTGTCACGATGACAGCAGTATCGACGTGTCTTGTTGATATTGGCCTTGTCGTTCACATGACATCTTGGAATGTTTTTTCTGACACGTTCAAGACGTTCGAAGCTTGAGAGGTCTATATTGAACGCTGCGATCTGATGGATATCAAGATTCCCAGTCCCTTCCTCACTCTCACCATGTTGCTCTTGCATTGCTACAAGGCAAACGAAAGAGAGGGTCCCTTCCAGCTCTATCAATCCTGTATGAGATTGAGATCGCTCCGAGGTCTTTTTCTGCGTGGAGGGTTTGAAGGACGTTGGCTGGAGGAGTGTATGGAAGATAGGATCTGTCCTGAGGAGCGAGAGCCTCTACATGACAGGTTCAGGATGGGAGGGGGGATCGCTGAGTGCGCTCGAGTTCTGGACCTGCTCGAGCCTCTGTGGCAGAGAAACAAGTCCTTCACACAGACGAATCAAACGTTGTTCAGGCCGATGCTGCGAGGCGATTGGAAGGGAAAACCGCTAGCCCTTGCAGACGGACTTGAGATGTACACTCGGTCTGGGGCAGCGAAGAGGTACAACTACTTTGTTAGCGGGAGAGTTCCGTTCCGACAAGCCACGGCCTACAGGCTGAATGCGATGGGAGAGCTGACAACGGTCAACATGACGGAGGTTGAAGAGCTGGATGCAATGTATGGAAGCGGAGGAAAACCGGGATGGCTGGGTTGGGGGGCAGTTTCTATTGAAAAGCTGGCCAGATGGTTGCGAAGGCGGGAGGAGTTGGATGAAGATGTGGAGAGAGAGAAGAATGACTTTGAGAGACGAGGTTGGCTCCCCATCCTGTCGAAGCCCGACGAGATCCCTGGAGCCGAAGAAGCCTTTCTGGAGAAGTACAAACTTGTGCTGAATGAGATGGCAAAGAAGAATGTCTCAGGCCTTGCTAACTCGTCGAGCATTCTCTTCGGAACCTCTTTCAATACTGCAAAACAGGTTGGCAGGAAGGTGAGGTCTTCCTGGACGGCAGACGAAGACCGTATTTTGATCGACCTTCACTCTCAATACGGAAATGAATGGAAGAAAATCTCTGCCAAATTTCCGGATAGGTCTTACAACGCCGTCAAGAATCGATGGGAGAAGCTAGTGAAGAGAGATCCCTCGCTTATTGCAGACGCAAGATTCTTGAAGATTCTTCCTCCTGGTGCTGATGAGGAAACTAAGCAGCGAGGTCAAGAACAAGGTCTGGTTGATATGCCGAGCAATCTTACAGGTTGGAAAGAGAACCAAAGAAGGAATGCAACGATTGTCAACTTCTCTTCTATCCGCATCCCGGACTTGAACATGGAAGCAGATAGGATCTCAATACAAAAGCAGCAGCTTAAAGAGAAGGTTACGCAGATCGTGCGGTCAAGCAACTTGAAGTTTGACCCGAGGGAGTACAACCGTTCTGAACTCACGCAAACAGACATGCTGAAAGCCATTCTCATCAATCACGAGCAGAAGTTGCTCAACATCTCGCAGAGAGAGATGGACCGGCTCAACCTCGTGCCCGACGAGCAAATCAAGAAGCTCAAGCAACAGCTAGAAGAGCTCAACGTGGACACCCAGGGCAGTGACAATTTGTTACGTGAGGTGCTAGCGGAATCAGAGTATGCAGATGATCCGTTGCATGCAGCTCTCAACAGAATCTACCACAAGTTCATCACCGTAGCTGACAACCTTGAAATGCTCAGGGAAGAGGAACGACACCAGAGGAATGTCGCAGCATTCGAAGCCCTCGAGAACGCGGTCGTGGAGAGACAGCTGCGAAATGTCTCGCTGGTCCTCTTTAAGAAGGTGAACGGCCATCTCGTCCCTGACGAGCTTGACCCGTTCAACTGGACGTCCAACCGCAAGCGCTTCCTCGTCGACGTCGATCCTCGTGTCGAACAGGGCGTGCCGACTGAGTACGACAGGAAGGAAGTCTGGATCGATTACGAAGAGTCGAAGCGGGAAGCTGCCGGGCTGAAGCCGAGATGGTATCGACTGAGAGAGCATGTAGCCGAGCAAGAGGCTGCTGTGAACGCGTCGCAGCGAGGAAGTCTGGAGCAGGTGATGAGGCAGTACGTGGAAAGGCAGGAGACGGAAGAGGAGGTACGTGAAGTTGAGCGAGCGATTTTCTCCGACAAGAACTACGAGGAGCTGCTACGCAAGGAAGGGATCGCCGTACCCCCCGAGTACAGGAGGAGGACGTTCACTCAAGGAGGTCCGAACCCCAACGCCAAGGACGGGTGGCAATACGGAGACTGTCACTACCCCTACAACCCTTCTCCCTTCGAGCACTGTGTCGATGCGCGATACCTCGACCGGTCAGAGCTCGTCAAGGCAAAGGAGCATGTGAAGAATGTCTTGACAACAAAGCGGCCCAAGAGTATGACAACAAACCATTCGATGCCATGGCGGCAGCAGCCGTTCTTCAGGCGCATGCTAAGGCTTGCGCAAGGCAGTAACTCCAGCTCCGCCAATCCTAACCCCGGACCAGAGAGTTTTAAACAAGTCAAGAAGGTGAAATTTGGGACAGGCAGCGAATCTTTCATGAAAGAGAAAGAAAACTTTGTCAGAAAGTTCTCGACCGTATCAGGGCAACACAACAGACGGAGCCGGCCGGCACCCCAAACGCTGAAATCTAACGAAGCAGATAACGATCGACGAGCGTTGAGACTGCTTGCTGATGGTCTGCGAAGGTCATGGGACACAGAGAAAGACTTGGGTGCTCACAAGGAAGACAAGAATGTGAGCTATGGGGATGACAATAAGCAAAATGTTGGTGCAGAACAGGAGAGAGATGAGGAACAAGATATCGAGATGGCAGACGGGTCTGTTTGTTTCACGATTTGTTGCACTCTTACACTCAATGCAGGCCAAACGTGACAGTTGTCAAGCCTTTTAATTTGTTTGTTTCCTCCTGCCCTCCTCACTGTTCTCATTTGGTTTGCAGGACCAGAGCTGAAAGGATCTACTACATGGACTCCGACGAGCACGAAAGATCGTCTTGTACGTCAATCAGTGAAGTCAGTAAGTGCCTTGTCGCTCCATCCCTTGACTGTTTCAGCAGCAAGCCATGCTGGACATCGAGCCTCACTTGAGAAAGTTCCACCTCGACTTCAAAGAATTCTTTGAAGGAAAAGGAGGAGGAGGAGCGACCATGCTTGCCAACGTGGCTGAGCACTCGGTCAGCCGCATGCCTTCCTGTCTAGGTCCTCACCCTCCTCTTCCTCAGGCTACACTGTTTTGGCTGCATGACGGAGGAGAGCAGGGAAGGTGGAAATGACGGAGGGCAAGGGCAAACCAACTGACAGCTTTTCTCAGGCAATGGCTGACCATAATGCACAAGATCGCGCTGGAGTGGCTCAAGTTTGTCTTTCCCAACGCTCCCGCCATGAGAGGTCACCAGTGGTTCGAGATGTCGCCCGACGCCGCTCCTTTCAACGGCTCCAAGAATCAGAGCTACGAGAGCAGCACCTTCTTCGTTGAGGACAAGGAGAGTCTACAGAGGAGCGTTGACTACCTCCTACGGGCTGTCGACCTCGAGATCAGAAATGGCATCGAGCCTAGCCGGGTGAACGTTCTGCCCCTCTTGTTTCACTCATGACTATTCCCGCAGATTTTCTTGGCAGGCTTCGGGCAGGGAGGAGCTCTAGCCTTGGCCGCGGCAGTCCAGAGCGAGCACAAGCTGGGAGCTGTCTTTGCGCTGAGCACCTGGTTTCCGAGGGCCTGTCGCTTCTTGGCGAGGAACGAGACCAAGTTCCCCAACGTGCGTGAGGGATCAAGTGGAAGGGGGGGAGATGACAAGCTGCCATAGGTACCGATTCACATCCTTCATGGCGAGGAAGACCCCGAGCTGCCTCCGGTCTTCGTCAACTACACGGCAACTGAGCTCTATGGTACCGCCCCGTCCTTGTTTCCTCTTCCTCGGTGACGAGATAGCAGCCTGCGGGTTCCGAGACATCAACATCGACATGTACCTGGAGCTAGGGCATCTCTGCCATGCCACAGAAGTGAGTCTTGGCTCAGCCGAGCTCGCATCCAGCAGCCCCTGACCAGCGAGCCCAGGTGGAGCATATCAGAAATGTCATCCTCCAGCAGGCACCAAAGCCGAAAGGATCAAAGTATGAGTACATCCCCCCCGACCAGTTCCTCGACTACTCTCAGTCGTCTCGCTCTACGGGTGAGTAGGTTGCCGCATAAGGAGGGAGGAGGAGACGAGAGGAGGGAGGAGAAGGAGAGAGGAGGGAGGAGGAGGAGGAGGGAGGAGAGGAAGGAGGAAGGAGGAAGGAGGAGAGGGGACCAAGAGAAGGAAGGCTAGAGAGGGAGATTAATGGACAGTATCGAGAGCGACAGGGAAGGGAAAGGCAGCTCGGAAGGCAGGGGCAGAGGGAGTGAGAGAAATCGATTAGACTGATTGACGAGTTACAGGACGGAGCCTAAAGGAGCGGAGATCAGCTCCGCTTGCCCCCATACAGTTCAATCTGAGCAGCGCTCCCAAGATCCCTCAACTTCCGGCTCAAGGTAGCTTCATGCATGCGCTGCCCTTGTTGACGGTTGGGCCAAGGTTCCAGAAGGAAGTTATCATCCTCCGAATCTGAGAACGATCTTGTGCTGGACGACGAGAACGAGGAGGACGAGCAGGGAGATCAAAATGAGGATGACGACGAGGACGAGGATGACGACGAGGACGAGGATGAAGAATATGAGGAAGAAGACTGAAGTCAGACATCGACCTTACCATCGGCAACCTGTACTTTGTGCTAGAGCGTGATTCCGCCATCTATCTCCACTACTCGACCTGTAAAATAGTTGCATTCTAAGATGAATTTCAGACCCTGCCAAACTTCGTCTTCCTGCTCTCGTCATCAGTGCGGCACATTCAATGTCCTTTTGACCTCACCTGACCCAGTCGTCCTAGCGGGACTTTTGCTATGAGCTCGTCAAGTAAATTCTTCGGAACGGAATCCAATATTTGAGTCTACGATATCATCAGAGATGTTTTCAAGAGCAAGACATTCAGATCACATGTACAACTCCAGGTGCAATGGCTCCCACCCTGATGTTGTGTTTCGCCAGCTCCTTTGCCCACACGACGGTGTCAGCTGCCTGCCATCCGCGTCATGCCATCGCCGAGCAGCCTCAAGTTCACCAGCCCAGCCTTTGCCGCGCTGTAGTTGCTCTGAAAGACATACCCTGCGCCCAGAGCTCAACCGCCTTGAGAGTTGCATCGTTGCGCTACCGTTACGGGCGGAGGAGCTTATGTTCACGATGACGCCTTCCTGGCCCGAGCCGATCATCCGAGAAGCAAACTCCCGAGCACACAGAAAAGGAGCCTGAAGAACGTCACCCGCGACCCTCCTCGTGCAAGGCTTCACAGTCAGGTTGATCGAGATGACAGCATCCCACTCCTCCTTGGACATCCCATGCATCCCCTTACCGCTGGACTGCCGGGAGACGGTGAGTCAAATCAGCCATCATGTGTCAAGTCGGCACCTTGTCTCGCTTCACCAGGGCCTTGTCGCGAAGGATCCCCGCATTGTTGACCAAGACCTTGTCAGCAGAGTCAGGCAAACACCTTATACGACTGTGCTCAGATCACGTTGCTTCCCGCCATGCTCTTCTCCGCCGCTTCGAATATAGACCTGACGCTGTCTTCCTTTGAGATCTGGCAGTAGAATCAATCTGAACAAGATAGTCGATCGAGATCGGCATTACATCTGCAGTCTGGACATGAAACTTTGAGCTCTTCAATCCCTCTTTGAGTTGTTCTAATCTCGCAGAGTTGACGTCAACCGCAAGCACACTTGCTCCATTCTCGAGCAATCTCCTGTGCATAAAAAAGTGACACTCTGATGTTGAATGCCTTAACTTTACCTGCAGAACGTGCTTCCTAGCCCTCCTGCTGCGCCAGTCACGATGGCTCGAACATTGGGAAGAAGCATACGGCCTAATAGAGATGATCGCTCAATGTATCAAGAGCAAAACAATGACAATTTGAATCATTGACCCAACTTACTACACTCAAATTCAACTACCAACTCATCACTCATCTCTACCCTCTCTATTGGCTTGCAATCATGTTGGCTGTCGGCTCCTTTGTGACATGCTCATGTTCCGCTACTTCTTCGCAAACGCCATGGCTCCATCATCGTTTTCGTCTCTTCTCTCTCTCCTGCATGGCAGGCCTGCAACAAACTCTGCAACAAACTCCCGGAGGCTCTTGCGGGCCCGGGCCCGGGCACTCTGAACTCCGGTCCCCGGCCGCCCTCGCGGGCCCGGGCCCGGGCGACTCCGGCACGGTCGGAGTCAAACCATTTACTCAAAGTGAACGGTTAACTGAAATCAGTACGAGGACGTTTACTCAAAGTGAGAAGGGTAATAATCCATTCTTAAACAGATAGAACTTCTTGACCAAATTTGATTGATGCAAGAAAGCGGCTTGGATTTACGAATGACCTCGGCTACAGATTTCAACATTTCTTCAGGGTTGGGAGTTGGGTATCGTTGGTTGCTGTTAACTTGCCCATGGCGTTGAGTTTCCTCAAGTCTGTGCAAAGACGATACTATGATAGCTGGATGGATCTGTTGCCCATAGGGGGCTTATGGGCACTGCCGCACCGCAGACCTTAGACCTTAGGATTAGCTCCTGGTACAAATGTTTTAGTCAAAGGGAGGGCTAATCCCCTGCTAAGGTCGCCCAGGGGATTAGCAATCATGTAACGTGCGACTCGGAGGCCTCCAGACAAATGATAGAGGCAGCAGGTTGACACTTGCACCCAGCATATCAAGTTGACATACACTGACGTTCCTCGGCTTTCTGGCGTGATGACACGTGTAGATCCAGGGCGTTGCCAAGTCAAGCCGTTTCTGGGGCTTTTGCGAGACATGAAACCTCCTGGACTTTCAACAGAGAGGCGATGACGAAGAGGAGAACAGCAAGGAGAGAAGACAAAAGCAAAGGAGGGACACAAAGAATACACACAGTACAAGACGAAATAGCAGAGCCAGGCATGGACACAGAAAATCACACGAACCATCCCGTGCATGTTTCCTGTCTACATCCTTGGGCCCTCAACCATGCGAGCGTGATCTTGCTGCCCTGCTCGATCGCCCCGGAGCCTGCCGCCTTGCTCCTGGCGGCCATGACGCTCCCCAGCAGAAGTGCTGGCGTTGCTTCAGCCTTCCTTGCCGTGTTCCCGATGTCGTCTTGGATTGCACTCGTGGAGGATCCAGGCAAGGGGGCTTCACTTGACGGACCATGCAGAGACGTGGGCGATCTTGACGGTAGAGCGGGGGGCGGGGAGGGGGGACATGCTTGCGCGAGCGAGGGAAGGGGAGGGAAGGTAGCGAGGAGGGAGGGGAGGGAGTCTGTAAGTAAGAGGGGGGCGGAAAGCTTCATATCTGATGGGGAGCAGTTACGGAGGTCTGGATGTTAGGAGACACAGTCGGAGGCCCGTCACTTCAGGCCCGGGCCTGGGAGTCAGCACCAGCCTGACCGAGGCTGCGCGAACTGACTTTGAGAGTCAGAAACGTTTGAAGCCTTGTGTCAAGTTGAGGCTGGGCAAGGCTTCAAGTTGATTTGACATGAGCAGCAAGGCTTCAAGTTGACTGGCCGCTGTCTGACGGAGACCGCAAGTCTTCACGGTGCTGCCAAGTTGCCCTCGGCCCCGCCAGCTCTTCATTGTTTTCCCCACTGGAGTTTGCCTCCTTCAAGCGTCAGCTTCCATATCAGAGGGGCGGGGAAAGTTTCACACCTCAAGCAGGGGGTAGTCTATCTGCTTGTTACATACCCCTCCTTCAAGCGGACGAGCAGGATCTGGCCCTCCCTCCCCTACTGGCTTCCTTCCTGAGGGTGCATCAGGCCCTGGTTGGTCGTGGAGTGCTGCAACATATCCCCTCGGTGACCTGATGACGCACATCTAACGTCTGAGCAACGAGATCCATCGCCTGCTCTCTTTCAACTCGCGGGCGGACCTCCTTTTCTTCCCCACCAGCATTCAGTCACAGGACGGTTGATGCAGACTTCCCCGCCTCATCTTGAGGAGCGGCGCACTTATCTCAGGTTAAGGCAGCTCTCCTCCGGGCTCATGGCAGCTACACTGTGGAGCTCTATCCCCCCGAGTCAAGGAGTCAGTCTTCTTGCCCGTTCCCCCTGGAGCCCCTCCTCCGGAAGACTCAGAACCCTCAGCGGCGCTTGCAATACTCTCTGATGCAGGCCGCCAACGTTCACCCTTCCAACAGGTGCCCCATCCACTTCGCACGAGGGGTCGACCGCTTCCTCCATGGGCTGCCCCCGGCCAGCCTGCCTCCCACCTGTGATCGCTGTGCTGCAGCTTTAGACCCATCAGCACCACCGCGCACGAGCAGTGTACTGTGGTTCTTTGCGACATCTGCGCTGGCATCGTCACGAAGCTTCACCATGAGGGTGCAGTCAAAGATCTGATCCTGAAAGCATCACAAACGTTCTACGAGTTCCCGAAATCGTATGGAGCGATGAAGGATATGGTGATCACTTACAACACATACTGCAAGCCCAAGGCTCGAAACTTTCCGTGCATGGATGCCTTGTCCTTATCGAAGAGCGGGGTACTGTACATGTTCCAGATGACAGGGGCGGGGAAGCATCCGATCAAGCTTGAACCTCTTTATCAAATCTTGAAGGCCTTGCGAGTCAAGAACACGATTGAAAGCGTATGCTTTGTGTTTGTTCTACCTGAACACCTGGAACGAAAGCGCTCCAGGAGACGAGCTCAAAGCTTCAAGTTTGAGGGGTCAATACCAAAGGAGTTGGCAGAGTACAATCTGACGCAGTATTCGATGGTCCTGTCGAAGAGAGTCGCAATAAAAGTTTAAATAGAGGGAACTAGTGCAAGCCGCCGCCGGAGCAGTCATAATTCTTAATCTTCTGTAGATGTTACAAGCATGCTGGAGGTCGACAGTACAGTTAAAGATGAGACAAGATCGGCGCACGTATCGATCGAAGAACTGCTCGGACAAACGAGTTCCATCAACCTCGGCGATCTCAGAAATCATCCACTTGCAATCATGGAGTGAGACAGTGGACGATGACACAGACAAGAAAATGTGCTGATGTGATTGACATGTTTGCTGAAATGGACCTATTCTTAAGCTCTTCCTTTAATTGTTCTCTTTTGCGAGGTTTTCAATACAAGGAACCTCCTTCTTCACCCTAGCGATCAGGGAGAGCTGTCGTTTGCGAACTGATAATCCATACCTTTCTCTAACAATAGGAAGCCAGGGGTATGAGAGAAGAAGGAAGAAGTAGAGGCGCTTCTATCACAGCAGTTCCCAGGGATCTTGCCGAAACGTTTGTGTTAGAACCTTTTCGTTCTTGTGTAGATGCTTGTTCACTTGGGTGCGTCAGTAACTTACTTGATCACGTTTGATCTGATGGCGATCGCCTAATTGCAGTACGAGACGCTTGCGTTGACCTCAGCCTGCTTGTACCAGACTGTAGATGACACGTTCAGGCTAAAGGCACCAACCCCTCAAACAATGCACTACTCGATGTCTGAATCTCGCGTGCAAAGAGCCGAATGTAGCGTGATGAGTTTTACAAGCTGACCTAGAGGTATAATCTATCATCACGAACAACTCTTCTATGCTCAATCAAAGCGTAAAAGGTCGAAGGTATCGGTTGTTCCTCCGTATGTGCTTCCTTCTAGGCGAGCCTGCACATGACTTGGTGAGCTTGACGATCTCTGCTGCACGAGGCTGGGCCGTCTGACTTGCATCTGCTTACAGCTCATCTCAAGCTGAGCTTCATGAACAATGCTTGCCTCTGACGTTCAACGAGAGCTCCACGCGGCAAGTTAGAAGGAATTGAGAGCACAGGCCAAGTGGATCGGACGTTGTTATGCAGGAGGGAGATGCGACTTTGCTGAGACAGAGGAGGTGAATGCCTGCCATGCTCTGGGGATGAGCCTCGAGTAGAGGTCGGGGATGCCAATGAGGTCAGTAGTTGCTTGCTGGATGAGGAGAGTGAGATGAGCTGGCAGATGAGCTTGGCAGCGTCTGCGGGAGCCAAGTGTCTGTGCGTCTGGTTCGGGTCTTTGTTCCCTTCTTGTCTCGTACGTGCCATCGCAGCCTGGTCAGAGCGGCTGGGGTGCGGGACTTGGTCAGCCTCCTCCGGGATGAGGAAACGAACGATCGCACGCGTAGAGGGCGAGGAGGTAGTGAGAGTTTGCGCTGGTGGCAGCGATGGAGCAAGAAGACAAGGAGAAACAAACTTCGAGAAATCCAAACTCCACCCTAGTTGATGCGTGCAGGCGACTGTGATAGCATTGTATGCCGTGGGAATGAGCCAGTGGAAGAGCGGAGAGCGGAGAGCGGAGAGTTGAGAGCGGAGAGGAAGGAAGATATCGACAAGGGGGGAAGAGCAAAGAAGGTTTCGTGTTGATCTCAAAGCAGGAGGTTTCTTGTCGCAGGTTTCACGTCATGCGCTAACTTTCACTCGTTCACACTCTGACCATTAGTTGTCTCGTCAAGCCATGTCGTCGCCCTCTTTCTTCACCTCTGCTGCATTCTTGTCATCACTGCGACGAGCCTTGCGCCACCGATCGTCAACAAACTTCACCAGCTGCCTGTTGCAGCGCCTTGCCATTTGCCATGCGCTCTCGCCGATCGTGTCGGAGAGCGTCTGGATGATAGGGAAGACAAGGATGAAGATGTTGGCGAGAACGAGGAGAGCCTGTACGATGTCTAGCTCGTAGGAAGTTGAATCTTCTCGCAGCTCCTCGACAGTGAGCAGTTTGATGCTGTTGCCATCTGCAGACATGGTCAGCGGAGGGCCGAAGACGAGATGGAGTCTTACAGAGCAAGGTGGCGAAGTTGGCAATGAGCGCAAAGAACATCATGTGGTCCAGCGACGGGTCTTGAAAGGGCTTGAGGTAACTGTGGGCGGCTAGGGAGAGGAACAGCAGCATGAGCCCAACGGAGATCTGAAAGATTGTGCCAGTGAAGCAGAAACTGATAAAGATGCACGTGAAGAACCTCCGGACGAGCTCGAAGACTTCAAACCACCAGAAGTTCACTTCGTACATGGAGAAGAGAAACCCAGCGATGCTAAGTGCATACTTCTCCGATTTCAACATGTTGGTGTCTTCTTCTCCTGTTTTGTCTCCTTTTTCTCTTGCTGATCCTGCTCCTTCTGCTGTTGCTGCTCCTTCTGCTCCCTGTTTTCCTTCTCCTTTCCCCTCTCCTTCCTCCGCTCCTGCTCCTTCTCCTTCTTCCGCTCCTGCTCCTGCTCCTGCTCCTGCTGCCGGTCCTGCTGCTTCTACTACTTCGCTTTCTACATCCCCTTTTTCAACGTTTGCCAGCATCTCCTGATGCATGTCCTGTCTTACTTCTGTTGCATTTTTCTGCTTCTCTGATTCGTTGTTGTTGGCGTTGCTCTCTATGTCCTCCACCCAGATCTTCGTTTCCTCCTCTTCTCGCCCCTCTTTCTCCGTCTCCTTTTCTTCCCTTATCTCCCCCTCTTGCACCCCGCCTTGCTTCTCCTCGTCCTCGTCCTCGTCCTCGTCCTCGTCCTCTTCTACTTTGGTGTACCAGCTCACCTTTGCAATTGGAACAACTTCTCTCCTGATGATCTCAGTGTACAACAACTGCAGCTGTTCGCGCGCAAAACAACGAGAACCAAGTTCATGCGTCTGATCATTTCCTTCATCGTTGCCTTTGTCGTTCTCCCCCTCGCTTCTCTTGGGTTTGTTGCAATCTGTCACGCGTCTGCTCCTCTCGGACTTGTCATCCCATTCCTCAACAGTTCCTCCCTCTCCAAGCTTTTCCTCTGCGGCCTCAGCTACCTCGATACCTTTGTTCGCCAAATCGATAATGGTCATTCCCTCCTTCTCCTCCTCCAGCGAGATTTCTTCAGGAGCGACCCTGTGGTGCTGGAACAAGAGCAGAGCGTTTAGCCCTTGTTTCTTCAGCAAGCGCCTTAGCGCTCTGCTCACAGCTCGCACTTCATCCAGATCCAACAGGTCGATAACGGAGGTTTCCCAGCTCTCCTGCCACTCACGCCTCTTGCTCTCCATGTCCCACTGCAGCCCGACCTCCTTAAGATGCCCCAGCTCCTGCAGACTTTGGAAAAAGGCGTGCTCCTGCTTTGCTCGCACCAGCGCTGGCACTTTGAGTTGTATGAGGATGTACACGATGAGGAGAGGAAATCCGACGGGATACACGAGGGTCGTGAAGATGGCCCAGCCATACGCGAAATCCCCTGACGTCCGAGGACAAGGCACGCGAAAGTCTCGGACAAGCCAAGCTCCGTCCTCCACGAGATCTTGACAGAGAAATGTGCTTAGAACCATGGAGGAGACTGGGATGTAGATGAGGTAGATGAAGAACCTGACCTGTCAGTCAGTGTCTGCAGATCAAAAGACAAGGTTTACAAGCTCCAGAAGATGAACTTGTGAAAGAGAAGTTGGGAAATGGCTCCTTTGTTCATTCTGTCGAGAACGACTGTGATTGCGTGGGGAAGGTTCATCAACATGATGGGGGCAAGCGGGGCGAGAGTATACAGAAGGAGCTTGTCGGAGAAGGAGAGGTCAGAAGCTGTGCAGGATATTTGAGGGAGAGCAAGGAAATCAAGACTGAAGAATGCAATGTTGGAGAGAAGTCGTGCGATCAGATCAGGCCATTCGATGTTGTAGACAGAGATGAGGCTGGAGGAGATCTGAACAAAACCTGCAGAATGCTCATTAAGCGCTTGAAGACATGACGATTATCTTGTTACCAATCAAGGTCTTGAGGTATCCAATCTTGGAGCTATGTTTGTTCACACTTTTACGTATGATGCCCAAGAATCCAGTCTTGGTCCATGCTTTGCATCTCTGTACAACGTCATCTACCTTTCCTGTGAGTCGTTGTGCCATTGCAAGATGTTTCATCAAAGGCAGCAAGAAAAACCAGCACCTCCAAGACTGACTGTCAGCCTTTCTCTTACATTCACGGAGGAAGCCTTACCAGAAGCAGACAAAACATACCAGTGCGAGTACTAGAATAAAAATTCTCACTCCCTCCATCCCTTTGTCGCAGCGCTTGCAGTTGCCATTGCTCAACGCCCAGAAGAAGTCATCCTTATCTCCTGTCGCCACACAAAGAGCGCATAGCTGAACAGCAGCCGTCAGCCTGGAGGGCGACCCCTCCCTCACTCACCCGCCCTTGCTGCCCTTGTCTGCACTTGAAGTCCCGCAGGCAGTTCCCATCAGCACATCGATGCGCCTTGAGGGAGATCTCCTTGTTGGTGCGAGGGAGGAGGAGGGCACTTCTGTTGAACCAGAAGCCGTCTCTGTTCCTGATCTCCTCACCTCCTCCGCATTCAATCCCGTGGGGGCAGCGCATGCAGGAGGGGTTGCTTGAGTTGCTCCCAGAGAACGCGTACAGGGCGTAGGAGTCAGAGAGGCACTTGTCGCAGGTGGCAAAGGAGGGGAAGCTCAAGCTGTCGGTCTTGAGCACGTAGCCGACTGGACACACTGCCTGAGAGACGAATACCTCTGCGACTGACGACACCATCTCCTCCCCTGACACAGCGTCGCTCCCATACGCCTCCAACACTACCGGCCCCTCTATCTGAGCTGGGAAGGGGCTGGAGGAGGATGGCACAAAGTAAATCTTGAGAGTGACGTTGGTCTGACCCACTCCTTCGTGCAGCGTCATCGCACTTGACCCCATGACCAGCGAACGTCCGCTCCTGCTTGACGCAGTGGCCGTGCGGATTTGCAAGGAGGAGTCAGTTTTGATCAGCTGACCGTAGAAGTCGAACTTTGCAGCTTTGACTTCAAACGCGATGCCGGGGAAGATTGTTGCTTCCTCTATCTGCAGGAGCAGGCGATAAAATCCTGACGCCACACAAGACCCGTAGGAGGCGTTGTTGGTATGCGAGGCACCACAGAGAACTGCCGGGTCGTCTTCATCTGAATCAGACACTAGCACCGGTTGCACCTTCAACCAGAACACTGCTCCTCCTCCTCCTCCTTCCGCTCGATTCCTTTGAAACGAGTTTCCTTCTAGCCGTGCAGTGCTCGCTTGCAGGAACAAGGCTCCCCCATCGAGCGCAGCATGATTTTCTTGAAAGGAAGAATGTCTGATGATGGCGGTGGCAGAGCTCTCCGTGTGCAGGGCTCCTCCTTGCCCGCCCGAGTTCCGCAAGAAGCTGCTTGACTGGATCAACAAGTTGGGTCTCGACAAAACAGTAGGAAAGTAGTCGAGAGGTTGGGACTTGATATGAATCGCGCCTCCTCCCTCCCTCGCCTCGCAGCCCTCAAAGGTCGAACTGACAACATTCATCGTCGACCCCTGCAGCACAACGGCTCCTCCTGCCCCTCCGCTTCTCGATCCGACTATTCTCACGCCAAACAGGTCGGCAGTTGCACCTCCGTAGACCTGGATACTGCCTCCGTCGTCGTTGGAGGAGCAGCCGACGACCGCGGAATTGTTGAGGTCGAGGTGTGCTTCCAGCCCGACGAGACGGAGAGGAGCGACCGAGGTGTCGCGCGAGCTCGAGCAGATCAAGTCAACGCCATTGACTTGAATCCCCGTACATCCTTGTCTCCCGTCGCACATGACATTAGCATTGTCAAGCAGGAGCAGGGATGAAGCCTTGCCGGCCTCGCTGATGAGGGAGATGTGGCAGGGCATCCAAGCACGAGAGCATAGTTCGATCGAGGACTTGGTGCTTGTGCACGTCTCCATGTGCTCGCAGTTGCTAACGATGCTGGTGTCCCAATCGTTTGCAAGAGCGAGGTCAAGCATCATGTTCTTGGAGATCTTTCGTTCTCTCGGAAAGTCACGAGAAGAGATGACGTTGTTGGACGACAGTGTGAATAGCTTACCAAGATTTGCTCCCATGCCCAATGTCAGAATGGTTTTGTCGGTAATGCTGTCTTCTCTCCCGAATAGTTGCTGCCAGGTCAACGTGTCAAGATCAAACGAGTAGAGGTCACTGAATGTTTTAGTTTCTTGAATTCCGGTTTCGACTCCTCCGTATATGTACAACTGATTCTTGTGCACGATCATGACGGGGTTGAGGCGAGAGGCAGGAGAGTTTTCGGCCTTCTTTGACAGCACTGACCACACGTTCACTTGAAGATCGAAACGATACAGCCAGTCGTCAACTCCCGGGTTGTCAACTGCAAAGCAATCACTGTTTGCACAAAAGTACAAAGCAATGGCTCACAGACGGTGTAAAACATTGCGTTATTATGGTTTGGAGCCAATCCTCCAAAATGATACACGTAGCGATCAGTAGCAGCGATAGAATGGAAGACTTTCTGAGGCGACGAGCCGTCCGCGAGCGAATGTCTCGTCCAAGACATTGATGTAACGTTGAAAGTGAAAACTCCAGAAGACGCGTTCATATCCTCTTTGAGACAAGGCAGATGTTAGCCATACCCGGATATACACTCAAATTACCAGAAATAGCATCAGCATGCAGCACCAGCAGAGCATCTGTAGTTGTCGTTGCAAATTCATACTCCAAAAGGTTGTAAAGGTACGTATACACTAAGGCCTGCAGGTCTGAGACCATGGATGCGTCTGACGGAGAGGTTTCTATTCGCATCCACGATCCACTTTCCTCTCGATATTTGAATAACGATGGAAAGAGATAATGGCTCATTCCAAACAATTCGTCTTGGAGGACAAAGAGAAATTTGAAGATTTCGACAGTCTGATTGTTGGAGAGGCTTTGCCAGGACAAGGAGTTCATGTCAAACTTGTATATCTCTTGGTCTGATGTGCTTGACAAAAATTCAGGCCTCAAGAGGAGATTAAATGTTTCTTTTACCCTTCTCCCAGAAACATGTTGTTCCAAGTATTAAACACCCTTGATACTGAGACAAAAACAGACATTTCAGTGCATCACAATTGTCAAACGCACTTTACCATCGAGAAGAACGACACTTTGGCGCCACTCAGTTATTCGATCCCAGTAAATGTTCGTTTGTTCGGATGGAGCTGCATTGCCGGAGTTGAAAATCACTTCACGTTTCCGTGCGATGGGATCGATGACGTGCAAGACTGAAATGAATAAAACTATCAGATAACATTCTTATCCAGATTGTCGTACAGACCCGAAGTACTTGTACCATACGCATAGATGGTCCCATCTTCGCAGTTGCTGAACAGATACGTTTCGACTGCATCAAAGGAGCCCGATACTAAGCTGATGGCATCTTCGTAGCTCATATCAAATCGAACCATTGCTGATCGCAATTGTTAGTAATCAGAGAAGAGGAGAGGCAAGGGAGGTGGGAAGACAGAGAAGGGAGAGAAGGGAGAGAGAAGGGAGAGAGAAGGGAGAGAAGAGAGGGATCTCATCATCGTGTCTCATACCATGGAACGCAAAGTTGAACTCCGCGATTTGCAAGGTGTCTGTTGTGTTGAACCAAATGCTCCACTTTGTGGGCTCATCACAGCTATCGCTTACCATAATATAGAATTCGTCGTTGCAAACCATTATCATGCTATACAGTCGATCTTTGACCGCAATAAGCTCATATGTTTTCAACTTCAACCAAGTGCCACTGATTTGGCAATCCTTGTTGTCGACGTTCAAGTTCTCCCACGGACTGTGATAGGTGGGCTGCCATTGCAATGTTTCGAGATAAAGTTGATAGAAGGACATATCTCGGACATAGAACAATCGATTCTGACAAGTCGTCGACCTTGCACTGCTGTAACCATATGCAGGAGCTGGTTTGTTTCCGTTGACTTGGTTGGTGTAGTTGGTCCACGTCAAAGTTGCCATGTTGAGCTGAAAGAGCTCCATGTTGTCCAGCTGAGATACTGTGACATCTTACAAGCAAGCAGTCAGAAGGCACCGTACAACACAAGCGACGTGTCTACCATAATATCCCAGCACGTAGATTGACTCTCCTGCACTTGTAAGCGTGTAATAGAACCCGCTCCGAGGGCTCACTCCATCGAACTGGTTGGAGAAGTCTGTCCAAGCTCGTTGAGAAGGATCGTACACTTGGTGCGCTGCGTTAGAGTTCAAACCTACATCACACTTTCTGTCAGAGTGCAACACCGATGCAGGAACAATGAAAACAACTCACTGTGTATCCTATTGTCAATGCACGTCAAGCACAGGTTGGTATTGGGTCGGGTATTGCGCTTGTACGATGAATCCAAGTCTGTCCATGAAGGAATTTTCTTCGCGGAGCATCCCAGCAAGAGACTAGCAGCAAACAAGCAAGTTATCGTCTTTATCGTCTTCATTCTTCGCCTACGATCTGCTCCACTGCGAACAAGTTGCTGCTTGATCTGTGTTCTGCCTTCCGCACGCGAGATTCTGAGTCCAGATCTTGTACAAGGGAACATTTCGTGACATCCTACCCCACCACCTGGGCCAGCGGATTTTTATACTTGAGTACCCCTATTAGCCTAACGACCACCCCCTGTTTTCCGCGTCGAGTACCGACCATATCAACCCATGAGTCGATGACTTGTTTAATGTACCAGGTCTTAAGTACCCCTATTAGCATACGACCCATACTATACCAAACCCAACAAGTATATCGACCACCGGGCCCATACTATAGTTACTGACCCCCCCCCCCCAAAAAGAATCTTTTGTTTGAAGTCGCGCTCTCATGATGTTTGTTTTTGTTTTTCTGGTTGATCTTGAGACGTGTCAAACTGTGTCGGAATCGCTCAA